TGCGCACCGCCGGTTGCCAGACCTCCGCCGAATCCGCCCGACTTCCGGGCGTCCGCCGCTTTTCGCGGCTTTTCCGGGCTACCTGGGCACCGCGCCGTCTTATTTTGCTCCTCCCGATCTCATATTGCAGTTGAGAGTAAATATTGACTCATTGTCCTCGCATAAGTCGATTCTGGGCGTCCCCGAGGTAGTGCGGCTAAAAACCCCACGTTCTGTTGACTCATCACCTTAATTCTGCGCCCAGCTGGAGTCGCAGCCTCCCCCCCCCCTCCGTCACCCTTATGAACCTTCGATTTCGTGACCCCGAGGAGTCGACCGATTGTTCGATGAGGATTTTTCTGCGTCATCCTTACAAGTTTGTGGCTCCACCAATTTTATCGCGGCAATGACAATATGGACTGCGTCAAACACACTAAAAAAAAAAAGATGGGTAGAATTTACCATTCCTTCACGCTGTATTTCACACAGCGGGTAGAATTTACCATTCCTTCACGCTGTATTTCACACAGCGTGCAGGAATAGTCAATTCTACCAATCTTCAAGTCGATTTCGCCAGAAGAATGGTTACTTGTACCAGTATATAGCAACGTTTGCAGTTCTTCTGGCAGAATTGACTCTGAATTGGCGCTGTGAAGTACAGCGTGAAGGAATGGTAAATTCTACCCATATTTTTTCCAGTGCAGAAAGGAAACACTTTAAAATTTTTAAAGAAATCCGTTGAAACGTTCTCCTGTAAAAAATTGAATTGCCCGGTTAAATTTGGCGATGGCTGATGTGGTTTGATTCATTATCACTGAGCGTGGTCCATGTAAAAATCGGTGAAAACGAAAATACACCGACTCTAAAAAACGAAAATAATCATGACACACAGAGCTGCACAGTAGGTGAAAAAGTTAGTCTTAAAAAAAAGATTTTTGCTGCCGAAAGTACTTGCGGACACTTTAAAGGTCCAAGTTGGAACAGATGCGCTGACTTCGATGCTCCTTATGAAAATAGACTGTTTTTAATGAAAATTGAGTATTATCAAGTTACCGAGTGGGTGTGTTTTCGTTCTCACTGATTCTTATTTTAAGGGCTGCTTCCACGCCCAAAATGAATGCGTCAAAATGGATCATCGATGCGACCTTTGAGTTTTGCCGATCAAAATTCGTCGCTCCTTTGACGTCAGGACGTATCTCGATTTTCGCGTGAGCTCCAGAGAGCATGGATTTACAAGTCCAACAGGGCTCGAATGAAAATTGAGATATGCCCTCACGTCAGAGGAGCGACGAATTAAGAGGCACCTAGCCTTCACTTTAAATCAATATTTATTTCAAACAAATTTGATTATGTATGGAATTTTTTAACTCAACCATGCTTTTTGACAGTGGTGGCGGGTTACAAGACATTTTGTCAACGATTTTTTGTCCGCGCACCTGTTTTTTCCGGTAATTTACGTCCACGCGTTTTTTCGGCACGGGAGTTTTGGTCCACGTGCCAATTGAGACCCAAAGTTAATTGGCCCACATGTAAACACAAACGACAATTGCTCACGACCGTTTTTGGATGAAAATGTATAATATCTTGGAAGAATGAGGGTTTCTTTGTTTTTTTTTTTTTTGTTTTGTCTGTTTGGTCCAACGGAGAATAATATATAGTTGAGAGTTTTGGTAAAAATGGGGGAGCGTCGATTCCATGAGACAAAATTCACTAAAACTCTCTACACCTCTTTGGTGTAACAGGTTTTAATTATCTTTCAAGAAATTCCCGCCTTGCTATACTTGAACCGGATAAACCTCTATATTTGCCTCAGCTAAAGGCTCTTAGATTTTTCTTGTGTACGATAAGTATCTTGATTTATTTTGCGAGGAATGATCTATACTTTTAAAGGATGCCTGTCATTCTTAATACGTCCAATTTCGTATAATACTGTGCAACACCTCTGTTGTGAAATAGTTGCTTCAGGCGCCGCCGCACGGCGGGCGGGCGGCCAGTGCGAAACGCGCATTGGCGCCTACAAACCTACGTGGATACTTCAAGCATTGTGCAATGCGTGAAGTATCCACTTAGGTTTGTAGGCGCCAGTGAGCCTCTAGCGCTGGCAGCACGCCGCCGCTCCGCTCTGTTAGGCTTTAATATTTAGCGTTTTTTAACTCATGATTTTGAAATGTTTGCACACTCTGCATTGATTATTCTCATTAAAATTGATGGGTAAAAAATATGTATCAATTTATCAAAGGAGAATAATAATATAATGTGTGTTTTTTAAATATTGATGGTTCCGTGTCAAATTTAATGATTTCAAAAGAACTTTAATTTTTTCTTTTACATTTTGTGCTTTTGTTGTGCTGCAGCGAGGTGTACGCGCAACCAAACGCTCAAAATTTGACGTATTTGACTCTAAAAGATCGATGTACAAATGGGTTAACTAAAGATTGCGTGCTTCTTGGTTTTTTTCTCTTTTATTCATTTTTGCAGTTTCTGTCGGCACAACTGCAGCTCATTGAGATTAATGTCGCTTGGAAAAGGTTTTACAAATATTTGTCACGTTTTAGAAATATAAATGTTTTCAAAATGAAGTAATAATTTCGTAAAGAAAAAATTAAAAAAATAAAAAAAGTACCTATACATATATAAGGTATATTGTACATCGAATATATACATACTTATGGACTGCTCTTCCTTCCGATATCTCCAATCACAGATCTACTCCCCTACAATCAACAGAAATACAAACCCTCCTACATGCGATGAACCCAATATTACCACCAAAATTCTAAAACTCTTCACCTCTCTTAGTTTAAAAATCTAAATTTTCGTTTAAACTCCCATTTTCAAAATTAACTGTAAAGACGTTATAATAGCCTGAGACGCTGAATGTCTTAAAATTATACTAACTAACTAACTTTAAGGATAGAAATAAAACCAAATATTCACCAATGACAATTTAAAAAGATGATTCAAAAGGAGAAAGTAATAACATTTCATTTAGAAAATGAGAAACCATGATGACAACGCCTCCTTCTCTCTCAATTTCTCATTTCCATACTGTCATTATAATTTTACGCACGTACTAAAATATAACGCTTGGACTAAGTCATTGTTGCTTATTTTACTTGTGGGCGTAAACTACTAGACAAAAAAGGCGCGCGGACAAAAAATCGTTGACAAAATGTTCTGAAACCTGGTGGCGTGTGGGTTGAAACTTTTGGAGGTGAGGAAAAATTTGGACGAATTTGAAATCGAAAGGAACTATATCCATTCTGTCATGAAGGTCCTAAGGTCATTCTGAAGGCCTTTCTTTTCAATATTTTTGAAAATTAGGTACCCCATGAAATTGAATGTAATTTCTGGTTATTTTTATGGTAAAATATCACCTTACAAACGAAAAAAAACCCTCGAAAACTTTGAGGGCCACCTACCCTCGCTTCTTTACTCGCCTACTTTGTTTTTAGACAAAACGTTGTTTCCCTCACCAAAAGGGCAACTAGATTTCAATGTTGCCAAATTACTCCTCCAAAATTGTATGTTTTTTAGGAGAATCTTGGGCACTTCTAAGTGACAATTTCACCGCAATTTGTTTAGTGAGCATGCAAATATCCGAAATACGTCGGACAAAAGGTGACTTTGTCGGAACAGTTTTGCAACCTTGGAATGGAGTTAAGTTCTCTAAAACTAAAGTTGAAACTAAGTTCTGGAAAACTAAGTTGAGAGGTCCGTTTTTTGCCAAAAATTCTGAATGAACTTACATTCTTTTTTCTTTTATTATTACCTGCACGTGTGTGATATTTCGATGTTTATTGACACCCACTATGGATTCACCTTAAATCCATCCAATTTTCAGGGGGAATAAATAAGACAGCAATGTACACGGCGCACAGTGAATTGAGCCAATAGGAGAAGTCGGACAAAATTTGGAAACTTTAAACGCTTAGAACTCCGTTTATACAAACTTTGGGGTTCCAAAATTGATTCCATTGGCTTCCTCGTAAAAGTTTCTTTTAAAAACACCACTCATACTTTAAAATGTGACAAAATAAACATTAAAATTTGCTGTTTTAGTAAAAAATTTCATGCCCGACCTCTCTGATCAGTGTTCGAAACTAACATTTGCGTTTCAGGAGCTATGTGGCCCATCAAGCTCGATTTTTAGGGGTCATAGAAGATTTTTTGGGGGCCAAATTGACTTTTCGCCTATTCATTATGGAGCATTTAGTGAAACGTTAGGATCCGGTGCCGTGCGTCAAATAAAAAAAAAACACCAAACAGAAAAATTAGAATTTATTGAAGGGGGAGGGCAATTTTAGGGGCCAAATTGGCACAGAGCCTTTATTTTTTAGGCGCCACGGTCAATTTCTTAGGTGCACTTGGCACCTATGAGTTTCGAACAGTGGTCCCGTTCCATGTCCGTCAAAAATTCCGGGATTCGGAAATTTTTTGTTCCAACTCCTCCCTCTCCGTGACCGTCAGAAGTTCCCTGATTATTTTCAGATTTTTTCGAAAGTTCCGAAAAAGTTCCGGTAAATGCAAAAGATCCGGAAAATTTCAGGAATTTCAAAAGTTCCGGGAAAAATTTAGGAAAATCTCAAAAGTTCCGAAATTCAGTACAAGTTCCGGGAAATGGGTCCCTATCCTCACCATGTAATATATTGCATTTCGATGTCTGCACTGGAAAAAAACGCATTGGATCTAGAGTCCAGACTCTTGAAAACATTGACAAGAAAAAGGACTCTCGATTCAATCAGATTTAATCTTAAATAAAAATGAAATCCGCTCAAATTAAGAGGCTTGGTTCTTGATTTAAGCTTAAATCTGATTGAATCAAGAGTATTTTTTCTTGTCGATGTTTTTAAGAGTCTGGACTCTAGATCCAATGTGTTTTTTTTTCCAGTGCTGGTTTCGAACACTGTCTCTGATTGACTCGATCCACTGTGCGGGAGCTTCCTTCCCAATATCGAAGATAGGACCTTTGCATGGTGTGAGTGCGTTATTGACGCTGCGTCCGTGTTTTTTGTTTGCAGAACGAGGACAACGACTACAACAAGACGGGGATTTTCGAGTGTCTGCCGTGTGCGGAGGGCTGCGAGGCGTGCAAAGACGGGCGGCCGTGCGTCGTGTCGCTCAACTGGATGTTGCGGGCGGCCATTCTCATCCTCTCCTGCGCCGTCATCCTCTGCCTCCCCGTCGTCGTCCTCTTCACCTGGAAATATCGAAATGTCAAGGTGATCATTATTTCCCGCCTTCCGCGAGAAACCGCGGAAATCTATTCTCCCATTGCACTTTTTCAACCTCCCACACCAGGGTGTCCACAAGTCCGGAAGTATGTGTTATGGACAGATCGTGTAATTGCCCAATTCATAACATGGGCAGATTTTTGCCTATTTTATGAAAGGGGCAATGTTGTCGCTCAAATCGAGGGCGAATAAACCTAAGTATACTGTTTCAACAGTATCATTAAGATCTTGAAAATTAAACTTGTGACATGTTGAAAAATCGCGTGTCAGAAAAGGTCGTAACTGCCCTTTTCTTTGAAATGGCAAGTTTCGAATACATTTTGGAGTAACTGATCTTTCAGGCTCAATTGGGCTACATTTTGCAATTAGGAACTATAAATTCCGGCCCGGTTTAAAAACAACGTATGTGCCATTAGTTTCCCTATGCACATAAGTGTTTTTTCAGATGAGCCAGACTTTATAGCTCCAAATTGCAAAATGCACTCCAATTTAGAAACGACATATCGTCGCTCCTCTGACTCAAGGGCGTATCTCGATTTTCATATGAGCCCCGGTAAGAATGGATCAAGATGGACAACACGGCTCATGTGAAAATCGAGAAACGCCCTTTGTCAGGGGAGCGACATTAAAAGCCATCTGTTTTCGTATGCAGATAAATGCTTCCATGGATGTGGCAGACACAGTGGTCCCCGATCGCAAAATACAGTTCTGATGAAGAATCTGTAGAACATTATTACTTCTGTAAGAAAACAAAAGTTGAGCTATTAAGCAACTTTACAAATATATGCAATGATTGCGACTCAGGCCGCATGTTTTAATAAAAAACAATGTGAAAAAGGTTGTTAATATATTTACAAATTTACCTTAACATGCCGCCTTAACCTTTTGCACATTGTTGGTCCGTATACGTAGTATATTGGCGCGTATACGTAGTATACCGCCTTTGCGATCGTTTCGACCCCCCACTCGATACAATAACCGAGTCCCTTAGTTCCTTACCGAAAAGTGACTACCGCGAACTTCTGAGATTTTCCAAAGCCTGTAAAAAGTTTATTTATCCGTCAATAATTATGATTTAAAGTTGTTTCTCATTCTGGGGCTCTCTAGTTTATGTGCAGTGAATACCAAAAGTCTACGTTACTTGGTTTTTTTAAAAAAAGCCTAAGAGTACGACGCGCTGATTTAAAATATGCATATATAAGCAGAAACAAGCGAACTGATTCGAGGATGGCTGATCAGGTCGGCACTCGTTGAATGAGAATTTCACTTCTTCGTTTTGTTTAAAACGTTGCTTTGACAGATCTCCACAACCCTGTTGAGATTTTCAAAATTTGGTACCCCTTGCTCTGATAGCCGGGGCCAGCAGGATAGTGGTAAGTGCAATCTGTGATGAGCCTCGAGACTCATTAGACCATGTGCTAACCGTAGCCCATACAGAAATTTACTCCCCTATCAGGCCAAAACAGTGCACAGGCAGGCACAAAACCCAGGTAGTGTCCCGGTCCTGGCTCGGTTCGCCGCGTCGCTTCCCAGCTGAAGAACAAAAGGCGGCCCTCGCGGTCCTCGTCACAGTCAGACCTAATTACTTTCACTCGATTACCCATTTCACCGTCACGCTGGGATCCATCAAATTTTCGAAAAAATTGTTTTGCGAGTACTTAGCAATTTTTTCCTTACTCTCCGTCCAAAGACGAATTGAAAGAGGTCTCATTCATAAAAATCGGCCGAATAGAAGAGAAGTTGCAGTATTCGAAATTCGAAGAAATCAACGAATTTTCTCCAAACAAAAAATAAAATGAAGGGTAAAAAAGAAATTTATAAATTACAATTAAATATAATTGACCTCAGAATTTGGCAAGCAATTCAACTATATAACGGAGAAAAAATTGGGAGAAATTACAAAAAATTCGCCTCTTGCAAGGGGCTTCCTTGTAAGAATTTTGATCTGAAGGCAAGGATTGAATACCAGCGCAATACACCATACAATACATGGTGTGCCTGAACGAACATTTTTTTGTGTGTTAAAATCGAAAATTCTTTATATTTTTTAACTACAGTGTCTCTTGAGTCGTTTAAGCCAAAAAAAAATTCCGTCAAGATTGTGGAAAGTAAAGGCGCTTTAAAAGTATTCTGGGGCTATGTATCCTAACTGTGTCCACACATTGTTTCTGTTCAGCATATCCATGTGTAAGTATTTTTACACGTAGAATCTAATTTTCACGTCAGGGAGTCGACATATCTCGATTTTTTCGATTTTATACGGAAAATTGGTGGTTTTTCGGGATTGAAATTATTATTTTTTCATGAAAAATAAATGCACCCAAAATGACTATAGCATATTGATTTTTATATATTTGCACTCACGAAATTGGTTGGTAAATTCAACGAGTGGGTGCATCGACTTGGTATATCGAGTTTCTGCAATTTTTTACGGCAAATTGGTAGATTTTCGAGATGTAGATTGCTCACTTTCAATTCATGAATGAATAAAGCATGGACATGGTTGAACTTCTTTGCATGGAAATACGTTTAAAATAACAAAATCAAGACATATCTAATGCAATTGCATTTATACCGAGTCAATTTCTTTTCAATAATATATCGGGATTTATAATAGGTACCGGTGATTTGGATATTTCAGCCCCAAAAATACCTTTAAATCGACTGTATCTTTCAGGAGTTCGACAGAATTTTTCCTTTCTTCGCTTAAATTATTCCGTAGCACTTTTCTTCAAGAATCTGATAAGATATTGCTGGGGGCAGATCAAAAAACTTAAACTCGTTCGAATGGCTCTCTACATTCACAATACACGGTCTCGTCAAAGTGCATCGTCGAAGAGTTGGATCGTAGGAATTCTCTTGTTGTGCTACTTGCCTATTTTGAAATCTCTGTAAATGAAAACTAAAGGGGTTGATATGTGTGAGTTAATGACGCGCCTTATCAACACATTGTGTTGGAGTTCACTGCTTGTTTTTTTTTTCATTAAAGCATGACCTGAGTCGCAATCATTGCATATGGCGATTGGCAATCGCCCAATCGCTGGCAATTTACAAGCTAGTGGTATGTAAATATAGAAAATTATAAAATTCAAAAATAAAAGAATAAAATTAGAGTGCTGATTATGTTGCCTATAATGTGAATCGACACTTTTCCATCCTTAAAAACATGGCAGAATATGCACACATAGAAGAGCGTGCAGTGAACTCCGTGACGTGAGTTGGGTTGAGATCGGACAGGCAGCTAAACTAACATCGTGATAAAGCGTAGAGTATCACAAAAAATGAAAGCGCTTCGAGACGAGCTCACACTTTTGAATACCAGAACCCTTAAAAATTACATTATGCCGATGCGCATTATTGCGATTTCTTGAAAAACGTGTGAACCGCTTGCAAATTGCCGGCGATTGCGAATGGAGGTGTTGCATGTTTGAGGAATTTGCGATTTGACTATTGACTCTTATGTAAAAGTTCACAAGAAACACGATGGTGCCACTGGTTTTCTCTGTAATTCACTCCCAAGCTCAAAAAAAGCTCTCAAGTTGAGACCAAAACGGAGGGGATTAGGGAGCAAATACATTGACAGGGCTACCACTTCATTTGGGAACTCTAAAACTGAAAACACGGCATCACTGCGAATGTATTTGCTCCCTATCTTTGCATGGAGAGTTCGTCTTGATGTAGATGTGGACTCTCAGGATAGCGTGGGATATCCCTTCCATTTTGACCTCAACTTGAGAGCTTTTTATGAGCTTGGAAGTTGATTTCAGAGAAAACCAGTGGCACCATCGTGTTTCTCGCGATTTTTTACACAAGAATCAAGAGTCAAATCGCAAATTCCTCACACATGCAACATCTCTATTGCCTGCGACTTGTATACTTGTAAAGTCGGCTAATAGCTCAACTTTTGTTGTTGCATTACGAGTAGCCGAAAACCGAAAAATCTTCTGTAAGATTTTACCAACTACTCTCTGTGTTTCAGGTGATCCGAGCCGCAAGTCCAGTTTTGCTGCGAGTAATCGCGCTGGGCGCATTTTTTATTTACGTAACGGTGAGTGTGATTCATCCCTCTCCTCCTCTTCCCACGGTCCCCAAGCGGAGCTTCTTACAAGCCTCGAGAACCGTCCCCCGGGAGATGGACGTTGCACCTGAATAGCCCTAAAAAGTTCAAAGTTAACCGCAACGAGAGAGCTTTTTCCGCCGTTTAATTCTCGAGTCACCGCACAGCAAGAGGCAAGGCCCGGGAATCGCGCTCTTAATCGAAAAACAAATTAAAGAGGGAGCTGATGTGTTTTACGAATTACGAGCTGACCTCTTTGATCCGGCGGTCGGCACAAGCGCCTGAGGACCCGGGGGTCCGCTTCAAATTCCGATAAACGTGATTAAAATCGCTCTCATTCAGCCACCTACACGATTCAAAGGAACACGATAAAGGAAAAGGGAATTATCTTGGTATTAGTTTTGTAGGCACTGAACAGTGGATATATTTATGCTAAAAGGAACTATGCTGCACGGTAACCCTATGCACATAGTTCCTTTTAGCATAAATACGTCCAACCAATGTTTTAGACGTAGAGATCATCACTATGGATTCATTTTTTTCCGGATGGATATTTTAGAAATATGAACCAATTGAGACATTAGTCAATTATAAAGTTAAAAATAATATTATGATTTTCTTATATTGAGGCTGAGATTGAGTCATCTTTGACTCTGCTTTTAAGTCAAGGTTAACAAGATTTCAATTCATTTGACCTTGATTGACTCTTATTTGGAGTCTCGTTTGACTCGATCCACGAGTAGATCGACAATCCTTATTTTCAATTTGGGAACAGAGGATTATTTTCTTCAATATCTTCATATTTTACATTTTGAATTGAGGGGCTTGGAAGATAAGAAGCATGAACGCAGTTTTTGAAAACATTGAGGTTTTCATTAACTCAACTAAAACTAGTTTGAAAGTATAATCTGTGAAAAATTCACAACTAAAATCCGACTTTAAAGCATCAAAAAGTGAGTTTAAACTTCTTTTCCGCCATAAGGCTCTATGTAATTCTGAAATTTTAAAAGAGTATGTCTTTAAATAGTAAAAACTACACTTGTGCGCTTTTTCCTCCAAGTGCCTCAATTGCTCTTACACGTATGGAAGTAAATTTATAGCAAAAATTTAAATTTAAAAATTTAAAAACTATTAAAAATTTAAAAAGTTAAATTTATAATCTATAGCAGTTGCTTGCATTAAATTTCCGCCTAATTTTTACTTATCAAATACATTAAGCTTGTTACTGCATTCCTATATGACTATATTCGTTTTATGTTACTTTTATAAAGTCATCGTCAAAAGTTGATAAAGTTTCCATCGAATTTTTTCATTAGATAATTCTGAAAGTTTAATCTAGAGTCTACCAAAATTTGATCTAATTTTCATCAAATATCCACCAAATTTTGATCATGCCGGCTTGTGTTGTGGTATCTTAGTACAGTCGAACCTCGATAACTCGAAAACCTCAATAACTCGAAGAAAATGTCCGTTCCCTTCCGCAGAAGAACAAAATCCTCGATAACTTGAAAAATTTGTTCCGTTAACTCGAAGACATTTGAGGCTCATTTGTACCTCAGTAACTCGAAGGAATCGGCGGTTTACCTCTATAACTCGAAGGCAACTACCATGTGTCAAATATGTACCTCAGTAACTCGAAGGAATTGGAGAAAAACCTCTATAACTCGAAGGATGCTTCGGCCCAGATAATCTCAAGGCGGCCGCAGGCAATCAGCGGTGGCAGGTTAATCAGTTTATCATCAGTTAATGTTGTGACGCGTTAAAAAAAAATGCGCAAGTGTTCTGCGTTGAGTGTCGCCCAAAAAGTGAGCATATTGGAACCACCAGTGGTGCCAAATAAGCAGGCAAAGAGCATACTTACTACACTCCGAGATTTTGTGGAGCAACCGCCTAATGTTAGTGATGATGTTTTTTCTGCTTTGGTAACACTTGAAAATGAGGTAGATAGACACCGTTTGCAACACTTGCAGCAGAGCAGAATAACTCAGTTTTTTAAAATTTAATTCTTGATCTTTGTGTACATATTTTTTCGAATAACAAACCATTGTCCTACCCCGATCGGACGTGGGGTTAAATATTAGTTCCTACTTCCATTCCCCAATATTCCCTTATTATGATAACGTAAAACAAATAACGGTTTTTTTTCCTAAATTGACCTAGCACCAACCTCGAACCTCCAACCTCGATAACTCGAATTTTTCATCTCCAAACCTCGTTAACTCGAAACCTCGATAATCTCGAAACCTCAATAACTCGAATTTTTCATCGCTTCCCTTCAGCTTCGAGTTATCGAGGTTCGACTGTATATTATTTCCCCGACGAGGCAAGTCGCCAAAATCATGAACACCTTCTAAAGAAAATGGTAGGACGTCTTTTTAAGCTACATAATTCACAGTACGAGAGAAATTTGGGCTGTTTTATCAGAGCGATCGAATGGAGTAGCGTTTGCTAGCTCATAACAAGGGGAACGCTGAAAACCTCCGTTGGCTGCTTCGTCCGGTTTTGCAGGCGCCTTAAATCTCTGTAAACGGTTAAATCTGAGTAAAACGAAGTGAAGTAAATTTTTAACTTAATAATTTATATTCCGCTCAAGTTTTCATTCGTTCATACTTGTTCAGGCTCACAGGGTGCCTGTGCGGGTTTCTAGAATAAGCAGTCAACGGCTGGAACAAATTTGCAACTTTATTTTAGCTCTGACACGAAAATTAATGAGCTTTAAAAGAGCCATTAAACAGTTCCAAACGTCACTTTTCAATGTCGCGATAAAAAGTTTAAAATGCATTTAAGTCTCGAAATCGTCTGCTCTCTCAGTTCCCGGACCAACGAGTTATTTCACACGCAACATGCATTGCGAGCTGTTTCAAGCAGGTTTCAAGATTTTTCTTGATTTTTTTTAAAAAATACAATTATTCATATTCTAGTCATTCCACCCTTACAAATCTACATTACCTTAAATCTAAAAAACTCTCATTTTTTCTTATTAATGATTAATGTTATCATCAGTAGATATATTCATAATAATGAGATGTCTTCAAGCAATACAGTAGTTAGAAAAAGAGAGACCCAAGCAAAAATACGCCAAAACAGATTACACATTGTGACAACAAGTAGTTAGAAAAAGTGAGACCCCAGCAAAAACACTCCAAAACACATTATGACCACACTGCAAAGTGAGACCCCACAAAAACACTCCCATGCTGACAACACTAGAGCCTACCGACGTCAGAACACATTGTGACAACACTCTAGAGCAATCTTTTGCTATGGAGAAACCCGTTTCCNTCTTTTTTGTTCAAAATTCGCAAAATTTGGTCAATATAAATAAATTTAATTAAAATTAATCGATTTTCGAAGAGGTTTTTTTTTGCGTCCTTTGTATGATGATGTTAATCATACAGGTTTTATTTTGATTTCAGACAATAGTCATGTATCCAGTTCCAAATGTCATCACATGCACAGCAAGAGTATGGCTGAGGGAAATTGGTTTCATGTTAGTTTACGGAGCGCTGATGCTAAAAACTTGGAGGTAAGTAAACTAAAAATGACGATGTAAGTAACGCGTTGATTGCGTTTGTCAGGCAATAAATTGAATTCCGTCAAAAAAGGAAAATGGATAAAGTTTAATTGGACTGCATTTTACAATTCGGAACTATAAATTCTGGCTCTTCTGGAAAAACACTTATGTGCATAGGGAAACTAATGGCACTTACGTTGTTTTTAAACCGAGCTAGAATTTATAGTTCCAAACTGCAAAATGTAGTCCAATTCGCCTTCATCTTGGTGGCCTTACGGAAAGAGTAATTCAACACGATCTAAAATATTTCCTTTACAAAAATACGCTCATTAAGACACACAATTTTACATGACAAGAAGGTACATCTTTATTAACATCTTCATTATGAACATCTACCTAAATTACTGATAAACTCCGATTTGCCTTGAATTTTTTCGGCATGTGCTTAAAAAAATGTCTCTAAGTAAGGATACCAATGGCTTAATTTTAAGTCATTTGGTGCCGCAGCCCCTTTTACCACGGACGGTCACAATTATTTTTCAAGAAGTCAGAAGAGGGGAGTGAAAAATAAAGACGGGCAAATTATTGAGAGTGTTTGTGAGATTTAGCAGTCAGCAATTTATCAAAGGAAAAGGCACGCCTGCGGCCATGCCTTTTACAGAGCTCAGGAGCATAGCGTTTTTCAATTGTTTTGATTCAAACCAGGTCTTTTGAAAACGGCAAAACCCTGCGGGGTTTTGCGAAATTCATTTATCTCCGCTACTGTAAACACCATTGAAGTTTTAACTTGGGTCTCCAGAAACCAGAGCATTTGTATTTTACTAGTAAAACAAAAGAAATTACGAAAAAGAGGTTGTGGTGGTAGTTTTTTTCTCATTTTTAATAGAGGCACCTTTACAAGTTTGGCCATAAAGATAAGTCATAAATAAGAATATTGATGGTCAAAGTTTGAAACCACGTATCTTCGTTTACGCCGCTCTAAACTTTCTGCCACACTTCATTTCTTCTTTGTTAAACAAGACAACGAAATTTTTTTAAAACATCCATGATTTTTCTTCCCTGTGTAAGCCATAAATTCGGCTTGTTTCTCTGAATAAAATTAAACCAGGAGCAAAAATTTTGGGACGCCACAATGATATACGTGGTTTTGCATTATAGCCATCGATAAAGATGAAAGATGAAGAATGATGATGAAGATGAAGATTTGTAAAGATGTATATTTTTCCTTGGACTTTTATATTTATTGAAGGGTTGCCGAATAATAATTATATTAATTGTCGATGCTATAACCATTACAATTTTTCACTTTTTCCATCAATACTTTTACACTGGGGAAAAAAAACACATTGGATCTAGAGTCCAGACTCTCGAAAACATCGACAAGAAAAAGGACTCTTGATTCAATCAGATTTAAGCTTAAATCAAAAGGAAATCCGCTCTAATTAAGAGGCTTGGTTCTTGATTTAAGCTTAAATCTGATTGAATCAAGAGTATTTTTTCTTGTCGATGTTTTTAAGAGTCTGGACTCTAGATCCAATGTGTTTTTTCCCAGTGTAACATCAAATGTAGGATCACGAATCAAATGCAACGTGTGCAAATCATCAAATGTAAATCTTGTAGGTCTAAGGGTTGTTGGATCTAGAGTCCAAACTCTTGAAAACATCGACAAGAAAAAGGACTCTTGGTTCAATCAGATTTAAGCTTAAATCAATAGGGAATCCGCTCAAATTAAGAGGCTCGGTTCCTCGATTTATGCTGAAATCTGATTGAATCAAGAGTATTTTTTCTTGTCTATGTTTTCAAGAGTCTGGACTCTAGATCCAATGTGTTTTTTTCCCAGTGTATTTGTAATTCTTTAAATATTTTTAAATGTACCGTTTTCTTTTCCATCCAGAATATCTGTGATTTTTCGGGTGCGATCCGCGAAAGCTGTGAAGATCACGGACATGGATCTCCTGAAACGACTAGGAATGATGCTAATGGCCTTTTCGATCCTCCTCTTGATTCGAACATTGGTAGCACCTCCCACGGTGATCGTTGGTCGAACAGCGGAAGATCTGAAAGCATATCTCTGTTCCACAGACTGGTGGGACCACTCATTTTCCTTGCGTAAGCATCAAATAACCCTATCCATCAAGGTTCCCCTCTATGCATGAAATCGCGCCCTAATATATTGATATTTCTTCGAGAATCAGGGGTCTTCAATGGAGATGTTGCATGTGTGAGGGATTTGCGATTTGACCTTTGTTTCTTGTGTAAAAGTTCGCGAGAAACACGATGGCGCCACTGGTTTTCTCTGAAATAATCTCCCAAGCTCAAAAAAAGCTCTCAAAGTGAGGCCAAAATGGAGGGGATATCCCGCCCTACCCTGAGAGTCCACCTCTACATCAAAACAAACTCTCCATGCAAAGATGGAGAGCAAATACATTAGCAGAGTTGCCGTGTTTTCAGTTTTGGAGTTCCCAAATAAAGTGGCAACCCTGCGAATGTATTTGTTCCCTATCTTTGCATGGAGAGTTCGTTTTGATGTAGAGGTGGACTCTCAGGGTAGGGTGGGATATCCCCTCCATTTTGTCCTCACTTTGAGAGCTTTTTTTGAGCTTGGGAGATGATTTCAGAGAAAACCAGTGGCACCATCGTGTTTCTTCTGAACTTTTACATTAGAATCAATAGTCAAATCGCAAATCCCTCACACATGCAACATCTCCATTTAATCATGTAGGCCTTAGTAAAATTTCGCGGAAAGTAAGATGGTGTCTCTGAGTTCCTCTAAAATTAATTTTTCAAATTCAAGTCGCGCAATGGGGGAAAAAAATCTTGAAAGTTTAGAAGCCCGATTTTAACAAAAGCATCGCGCGTTGAAAACTGCAGGGGAAAAAATATGCTTATTCCTCGCAAAAATGCAGAAAAATGAGCGAATTATGGTAAGTTTAAGCCAAGGATAAGCATCCAAAATCGAGGGTAAGAAACGCAGGAAATGAGTGGGAAAGAAGGGAGTTAATACCACTAAAATGTTTACTCTCTTGCCCCTGTTCTCAGAACTTTCCTCGCAGCTTATGAAATGAATATACAAACTTGGGGTAAACCTAGTGCATTTCTCTTGATAAACTCAACAAACTCTTCTCCTAAATTAACTTTTTATTATTAAAAGGTTGCATTTTAAAATACATTTGTTGCTTGCGACGGAGTAAGGTCAGGGTAAGGAGACTCTGCATCATCAAACAAAACGAGCGCAGACCTCTCCCCGAAAGTAAAACTTAAGAGAAGGGGGAATGTTATTTGAAAACTTCAAGTGAAAGAGCCCTGAATGCAGAAAATTCACTTTTCTACATCAAAATTCACTTTTGCCCAAGATCCCATGAGGTCGTGTTTAAATTCATACCGCAATGCACAATACCACATTCTCACATGGGTTTGGTCTTACTGCCGTGGTATACACTGAAAAAAAAAGACTACGGCCATGGAAGCCGTGCTGACGCGCTATATAAACGCACCGTCCGCTTTTCGGGCTCAGAGGCCGAAAGTTCCGGGCGTAGCACCCGGAGCAATCGAAGCTACGGCCCCAGCACCCGGAGCAATCGAAGCTACGGCTCCAGCACCCGGAGCAATCGAAGCTACGGCTCCAGCACCCGGAAATTTCGGCCTCGGAGCCCGGAACGGACGGTATGTCTATGCAGCACGTAACTTTGTTTTTCAGTGTAGCGAAGAAACTGCGAGTCACAAATTTTCGAAATCGAGTTTCCTTCCAAACTTGTCCAATCTCTTTTAGACAAAATCACTGAAATAGCTGAAAGAGCCCTCTCCTGCCTGTTTCTAACCTGAAAATGTGTTTATTGCGTGTCCAAAATGCGACTACGAAACCATGCAGAAAATAGCACTTACGGCTGTCTCGCCTAACACTAGCCTAATATCTAAATGAGTAATACCCTTTTGACATATTTGAAGTAAAATTGTCGACTTTTAATATTGGACCGAGTTTAACAGAAAGGAACCAAGCCACACCAGCTATTGCCAAGTTTAACTGGGCAATTAATTTATTTACGAGAGAACGTTTGTTCGGATTTCTTTGAAAATTTTAAGGAATTTGCTTCGTACCATGGAGAATTTTCACTGAAATTTGCACGAAAATCTGCACAACCGTTTTCATGTAAAATATTAAATTGCCCGATTAAATTTGGCAATAGGTGATGTGGCTCGGTTCCTTTCTGTTTAACGCCGTCCAATTATCCAAACATTTTCTTAGATTCTACCGGATGATTGGCGGTAATTTAAGAAAAAAACAAAGGCCTCTTTCAATAAAATGTATCACTCGGACGCTAGTGAACCCATTTTGCACTTACGACTTTCGCTATCACGGCAGCATAGTCAGGGATTCTCCATCAAGGAGGTATTGGCACAGGATCCGAACAGTAATGCAATATCTTCCGATGCAACCGGTGAGAACAAACCTACACCCATCAAAAATCCCGATAGCTCTTCGCGACACAGGTCTGAAACGGTCTACATTCACGGTGTTATTGCCGTTGTCGCGGGTGCGGCACTATCTCAAAAGAAATGATTGCGAACATTCGTGCATCGCCACGTCATCGTCGACCCGGAAGCGCTCTCCATCGAGTGGAGCTCCTCTCCGAAATACAGTCGATATCGGGGCAGATATGGGGCCGCGAGGGTTTGATTTATGGCGTCAATATCCACATTCATGCGTTGAGTGTGTGCATTGCCGGGATGTGAAACCTTTTTGAATGTTCTTTCTCATCCATAAAATGTCGCGCAATACCCGGCCTGAAAGCCCGGCGCGTTACTCTGCCGTGCTAAGGAATAACGCCGTATGAACATTCGAGAGTTGCCAAATTTCCTTCGATAAAACATGTATTTTTTACGAAATTTATGCGCATTTTTCTTTGAAATTTCCAGATATTTTAGAGTTAACTGCGAACAAAATTGTCTGAAAATGTTGAAAGTAAATATTCAAAATTTTCCCTGTAAATTCGGTTTTTATCGAATGAAACTTGGCAGCGCCTGAAGGCTCATACGGCGTTCTTCCTTAGCACGGCATTACTGCTTTGCATCGATTTCCGCTGAGAATCATGCTCGCATTGAGTGTGTTTTGAGGTGTTTGAGGGCTTCGATGAATCCACTCGCTGGGTTCCTGAAAATCAGACAGTTGGTTTCAGACAGTTCGGTGCATTCTAAGGAAGAGATGCACAAAGAGAGGAGGTGTCAGGGTAAAATGGGAAAAGAACACGACATTTGTTTGGTCCACTCGCTGATTTGAGCCGCGAGAACTCAAAGCTTGGTGATGGACTTGGTTCATTTCAAGGAATGGATTTAGAAAGAGAAAAAGGGGTGAATACGGAGTGGATGTAGACAGGAGGCGGAAACAAGGAAAAAAGAGAGCAAAAGAAGAAAAGGTGCAGAACATTTCTTCGATCCTCTCTCTGAGCTATGGAAATTCAAGAAGAGTGGTTTTAGCTGACAGCTCGTTGCATGACAAGGAATGGATTCAGAAGCAGAAAAATGAAGATAGAAGAATACGGGTAACATCGATAAAAGACTAGAATATAGTACGTGGGTTCGATGAATATTGACCCGTTACTAGTAAGTAAGGACCCCCAGTTACAAATGTTCCGGGTGATATAATATTGGAAAGAAAAATTTCGAAATACTTTATCAGGTAATCAAGGATAAAATACCTTGTTACCATTTAATTCATCATTGTCGTATACTTGGTCCTTTAGAACCTCCGTTAACTTAACGTAAGAAGCCTTGTTGATATTACACTACTTCCAGGCACTGAGGCAAGATAATTGTGCGCGTAAAGACAGGCCATTGTGGATTACAGAGTAGTTTTTTGTATTAAATATTACATGGATTTTTTTTCGTAACAAAGTAGTTTTTTCCGTGAACAGAAAATGTTAAAGGAAAATTTATACGGAGTTAATACCGTTACCGTTGGTAACCAGGGTGACAAAGGATAATTTGATCGAATTATCAACTGAGTGTCATTTGTTATCCTCCTCAACTTCGGATTAAATTTTCGTAATTTTTTTCTTTGATCAAAGATATTTCTTTAAGCATTGTAGAAATGGCGAAACGATATTAGAAAAACGCTTCTCGATTAGTTTAAAACTGAACTGAGTTAAGCAGAAAGGAACCAAGCCACATCAACTATTGCCAAATGTAATTAGACATAATTTAATGTTTTATATGAGAACGGTTGTGCAGATTTGTGTGCAAATTTCAGTGAATATTCTACATAGTACAAAGCAAATTCTTTAAAATGTTCAAAGGAATCCGCACAAACGTTCTCTTGTAAAATATGTAATTGTCCAGTTAAAGTTGGCAATATCTGATGTGGCTTGGTTCCTTGCTGTTAAATGAGGTCCAAATCTGCATACTGCCTGACGCGCCTCAGGCATGTGACCCTATGACCCACGAAGATAGACATTTTAGTTACCTCTACGTCGAGAAAAATTATAGTTTGAATTCCTTTACGCTAAAGGAGTATATCTGCACAGGAGAGTTCAATGCTCCTATCCTATAAATGGGTCTAGCTTTGGCTGAAATCCGGGTTTTTTTTTGTGTGTGCCTCGTTTCAGCTTGCCCTCTCCACACCATATAGTCACGCCGTCCTCTTCCAATTGTGTATGTATCCCATCCAACTTATGTAACCAGTCCTGAACTACTGCACATAAGTCTTTTTCCTGAATTTCCAATTAGATAGAATTCTTTTGTCAAATGCGCCCAATTAAAGGACACGCGCTTCAATCGACCAGTTTTTTCTACTCATCGGTTTAATTGGAACGAATTCATCAGACCAGACAGGGGCCAACCCATATCGGCTTAGCTCTGAGAAGTGAGCCTTTGAAGTTTGACAAGTTTAATGAGGCCTCACAGTAAAATGTTAAAGCTGGGAGTTGTGAGGTTGAAATTTCGGATCGACCCTTAACACGTCGGACTCTGTAACATTCAAATTGATATACATATTTTTCCAGTTACATCATCAATATGTATACCTTACGGCGTTGTATTCATTTATTTATTTTTGCTTTGAATTTTTTTTAAACAAAGATCTAGTTCCTCGATCAACGCAGTATTTCTGAAAAATTCATGGAAAAAAATTAAAACTTAATTTAAAAGAAAATGTGACACGATAACCATACGGTGTCTTGGACCCACAACGTTTCATTCCTCCATACCCAATTTTTCCCTGCTTCACAATACTTTGTATTGATCTAACGCAAAAGTTTGGATTCGTCCAATCTTGTGTCATATTGGCCATTCTTACTCAACAGAATCAACACAAATTTGTGTATGATGAACAACAATGAGTGCCGAGCCTCATCATCACAATTTATAGTCCAACCAATCCGCTTTATCATTGTTTCATGTGCTACATTTCTTTGACATCTATTGTGTAGAATTAAGATCAATCTTTTTTCAGCTTTCTCTTAAGAATGAACATTATTTAATAAAATGTAGCAACGTTTCAATGCTTATTCGGCGATTTCAGCATGACAGGTTGTGTATCAGGCGACATTTTTTTTTAAACCAACCATGACTAATTTTTTCGAGAAACATGTTTGCTCTTCAGTCTTCACACATAAATCCAATCCATTTCATTACATTTTTCAGAGAAGCTATATTGACGATGCGCGTCGGTAGAATAGTCAAACGTTTGTTTTTTTACGCGCTTTTAAGCGACCATTTTCAAATGACTGATTTTTCTGAGTCGCGCTCATTGCGTTTCAGTCAGTACATTTCGCCGAATCACAGCTCGCTGTCAACGCGTAAGGTAAAGCCACGGCTCCACAGCCAACAAGCGACGCGAAGTCAACCGCGCGACAAAACTTAACGACCCGTACTGCCGTGCTAAAGAAGAACGCCGTATGAACATTCGAGAGTTGCCAAATTTCTTCTGATAAAACATGCATTTTTTACAACATTCATGCATGTTTTTCCTTGAAATTTTCAGATATTTTAGAGTAAATTGCGTACAAACTTGTCTGAATTTTTTGGAAAATAATATTCGCAATATTCCCGGTAATTTGGTTTTTATCGGAGGAAATTTGGCAACGTCTGAAGGCTCATACGACGTCCTTCCTTAGTACCGCAGCATACCGCCGTGCAAAAAGAGCGTACAGTAGGTGAAAAAAAAATATTTTTTTTAGATGAAATCGACGGGCTATAACTCAATAAGCACATTTTATCGGAAAATACGTTGACGGGATTATCATACTAAATGATAATAGACATTGAGAGTTCAAAATTCATTTTCTGGCAAGTATGATCTAACATCAAATGACTGCATTTTGCAATTTGGAACTATAAATTCTGGCCCGGTTTAAAAAAAACGTATGTGCCAATAGTTTCCCTATACACACAAGTGTTTTTTCAGAAGAGCCAAAATTTATAGTGCCATATTGCAAAATGCAGTCCAAATGTAGGATCACGAATTAAATGCAACGTGTGCAAATCATCAAATGTAAATCTTGCAGGTTTAAGTCATAAGCCTTATGTTTCCGAGGTGTAAGTCAATTCAAAATCTGCGGTCTGCAAAGTGGTCGAATATTTGTTCACAACGCCTATCTTCATGCATTCAATCGTCTTCCTCAGCATAGCACAACATACTCGCAAAAACAGTCGGATGGAAAGATGTGCGGTCTCCATACAATAGCGTTGCGATTGTATAGTGTACTAGGGGGCTACGCCCCCTGGCCGCTACGCGGCCCAACCCCCCGAAGGCGCTCCGCGCCATCAATGGGCCGCTTCGCGGCCCTATTTTTACCCTCCTATTAGTATTAGTTTTATTTTTCCCCTAAAAAAATTCGATATGAGGTATACTTAATAGAATGAAATAATTTTTGGTTTTGATGAATAAAGAAAAAAAAAATCTTGAAGTCAAAAGGCCGCGTTTGGGAATGACTGCTTGATGAAATATTACAATAAAGCAACGATCTGTTTAAATCGGATAACCATTAAGAATCTCTGGAGGCGGGGATCGAACCCACACTTTGATCAACGTGGACACTTCCGACGTCGTAGACGACTCGGCCACCGCTCGTCTTGAGGTAACCGGCGGAAATCTTGTGTAGATACGTGTAGAGCTGATGCGCAGGCTACACACCTACTGCGCAACCTCCTCGACCACTGCGCATCCTCCCGCGCATAGCGGTAGCAGTCCCGGAGCACTCTGTAAATTCACTCACTTTAATAACGTGATTTTAAAAAAAAACCTGGGTCCTTTTTCCAAAATCTAATTAAAGCGGGCTCATCTAGAGCCTATTACCTGTCGATTTACGCAAAAATCAGGGAAATCGGCCCAATAGAATGCTCAAACGAACTATGACAAAACACATAAAACATTGTTTATATGGGAGACTTCGCAACTTTACCACGTAATATAAAAAACCTGGGTCATATTTTCAAAATCTGAAAAGAATTGGCTTATCTAGAGACAATTGCCCGTCAATAGCCGCAAAAATCATGAAAATCAGCCCGGTAGAACGCTGGAACTAAGCGTCACCAGTTTCGCAAAATTAGAAGGTCTCGGAGCTTATAGTATAGAAAAGTATAGATACCCGCTTAATTTCTTCATGTACGGTGAAACGATGAGAGTTTTTCTCGTTTTGTTATATTTCCTACTGACGCTTTTGAACGGTTGACGCTTTTGAACGCTTTGACGCTTCTGAACCAAGGGTATCCTCACTCAAGGGTATCACTTAGTAGTTTCCACTTAAACACGAAATTCATCAGATTTCAGACACTCACAAATTCTCTATTAGCTTGGCGCGTCCGATGTCGCGTCACGCGCTGTCTGTGCGAGGGTGGCTTAAGGTAACGATTCCTCGGCGTGGCGGATCGGAGACATTTCCCGTCGGGGATCGGGGTCTCGGAAGAGGATCTCAATGTATATTTTGTATCTGTTGCAGTGGAAGTAATGTTCTTAATCTGGGGAATCCGACTGTGCATAGTCGTCAGGAAAGCGCCCTCGGAATTCAACGAGAGTCGATTTATTTCCATGGCAATTTACAACGAATTCCTTCTTTCCGTCTTTCTCAACGTCTCCATGTAAGTTCCTTCCCTTCGCTTGCACCCGCATTGTTCGGCTTTATCCCCCGTCTCCACCCCAGTCGGATCGTGCTCAAAATTAGCACTTCCTTTGTGGAGTTGGCTATTAAAAAGCAATAAAAAAGTCGTAAATTTCAAAGAGGAAATCCTACTAAAGAACTGTTAAAGAATACGTACTAAAATATCCTACAGAACAGAACTATTTCACTATCACAACTACCTGTCATACGAATGCATCTTGTGGGAAAGCACTTTGTTTATGATTTCTCCTTTACACTTAATGTATGTCCTAATCACTTTCCATTAGAAGTATTTTATTTTTGGGACCAATAATATCAGATTTCTATAACGTCTTATTTCTGCGAATGTCCACTCGCAATATTGGCGATAAAAAGCAATTTCGAGGAGGAGAATTTCGAGAAACAAACAATTGTCAAAATGTACCTGTTAGAAAATCCTTTTTTTGCCACTGTGGAAAAATTTCCCATTACTTTTTAAGAAAATCTTATTTTATGCAAAAAAAAAATTATGCTTAATCTTCAACATTTTTACGTCGTTTGCATATCTTTGCGCCTCCAGCGAATGAGTGTGTCTCAATTTCCACTTGAACCCTGTTTTACAAATAAAACTATACTTTCTGGGGCTCATGCGGAGATCAAGATACGCCCTTACGCTAACGGAGCGACGATATAGATCACTTTTTATTATGCAACAATGAAAACTACTTTTAGAATTAACAAAATCTTGATGTTAACTTTTATACCTAAATTTCTCCTAACTTTTCTCAAAGAAGAGCTTATCCGGTTTCATAATTTGTAATCTCATAGGTCTCATAACGTTTTTCAAAGTCCAAATATAACAGTCAAGTCAGCCGGAACTTTCCTCACATAACTCATTGAAAAATGCTCATTATGCTAAAAATTTGGCAACCTCCCCCGTCGTTATTTTGAGAGTGGAGTGCCTTGTTTGTAAAACTGCGAACACGAGGGTGGGGGCTCAATAAAGTGGGCTGACAAACAGTTCTTATCAAACTCCTTGCTGTGCTGGACCGTAAATGACACAAATGATTCCGTACTTACAACTTTGCCGCGCGTACTCCATAGTAAACCTACGAATATGTTTCCAAGTTCTCACATTACCTTAAACTTTATCACCGCACGGTCGATGGACGACGGACCGCGGTCAGTCTTGTGGTTATACTGACTCGATGAAAAAGCTCCAGACAGGATGTAGTGATACTATCGTTCAATACTTTCGTGCTACGGGAAAACGCCGTATGAACCTTCAGGCGTCGCCAAATTTCCTTTGAAAAGGCACTAAATTCTAAGGGACTTGTGTGAATATTTTTCTTCTATTTTTTCAGATAATTTTGTTTGTAATTTGATCTAAAGTGTCTGAAAATTTCGAGAAAAATTATTCATAACTATCCTCAAAAATAAACATTTCATCGGAGGAAATTTGGCAACTCTCGAATGTTCATACGACGTTCTCCCGTATAGCACGGCAGGATACTCCCTTAAGTGTGTTCATGTTAATGTATAGCCTTTGGAGTTTCTTATTTGTACTTCTTTCCTATTTCGCAGGTTATTTTTGCAGTCACCCGCCAACCCGGATCTTTTGTACATAATTTTTTTCTGCCACACTCAGCTCACAGTTACACTTCTCCTCTGCCTAATTTTCGGTAGTAAGGTAAGTTTGAAATTCAGTTCGTTTGAGTCTTACGCACGTATTTTCTTGGAAATGAATGATGTTACATGTTTAACTAAGGGACCCTAACCACTTCGCAGTCCAATCCCCGGAAGCGCTTTGCGCCTCAAACGTTATGCAATACGCGTTACTCTTATGACTTTATGGATATATTAAAGAGTAAGATATAAAAAGGATTGGTTCGTGGGAGAAAATAACTTGAATCTAACGAAAGTATCATCCTGTGTAATACAGCGAAAAACTCAGAGTGTTAATCAACACTCTGAGTTTTGATCAGTCACTCTTTCTTGAATTCAAGGAAGAGTGACTGATCAAAGATCTGGTCAAGCTCAGTAAAAATTTCTAAACTTCAGCCTAAAGGATAACGATTGACTGTCTGTCTTAGCAAGTTTCCAAGTAGCACGGATTGCATTAAGTATCAATTACATAGTAAAAATTTTGCAATTCCACTGAGTGTTGTGTATTTTGCCTAGTTTCTATTTGAAGGGGCCCCATTTATTGAAACTTATTGCAATAAAATTGAAATAAGTTGCAATTTTTCATTGCATTGCATATTCCCTATCTTTCTGACACATAGAGCTCATTTTGTTGAATGTTTAAAATCGGCATGAATCGACTAAATGATGTAAAAATATTGCAATTTAATGGTAAAAAATTGCAATTTTATTATATCAAACTGCAATTTAATTTAAATATTCTCGTTGCACTGTGCTACTTGGGTTGATGTAATGCTCGATACTTGAATATTTGCTTGTAATAAATAATTCAATAATTTTGGATAATGATGTGCAATTACTTCTTAATACATCATTTTACATATAATCAACTAATTTTGGAATTTTTCTTCTTCAGGCTTACATGGTATTAAAAGGACACGGGAAATCGGAGGAAGCCCTGAGTGTCGTCTCCAAATCTCAAGCCGCCAGGTTCATGTCGAAGCCGCGATCAACGAACCACTCGCAATCTCAGGCGACGAACAACGCGTGCACTGCTTATATTTTAGAATACAGCAACATCTCAGATCACGATATTCAGGTTTGTTCATCAATGAATCTTTTTCGGGAGGACGTTTGACAACACTGTACGGCGCTCTTCATTGCTGCATCGGCGTCCGAGCTACGATCAGCTCGGGGCATTGGCTATTCGCGGATGTTGGTCACACTGCTTATGCTCCATTAAACCCAATTTAAATGATCGATTCACAGGAAGGCGGTCTGTTTTGATAGATATACGTTTTTTTCTATGCCTGTAAATGAACAGTGCCCAGCAGAGCCAATTTACAGGACTCACCACTGCATATCGTAACCAGTGACGTGGCGTGCTTTGCGATATATCGATTGTTATGCCGTTTAGACCTATGGTAAAGAATCGATTATTAAGGTGTTCGCTGCGAACTCCTTGATTATCGATCCTTTTCCATAGGTTTAAATGGCATAACAATCTATATATCGCAAAGCACGCCACGCTGCTGAATTCGTAACTCCTCTGACGTGAGGACACATCTTTATTTCACGTGAGCCGCACTGTCCATATAACTCCATGCTTTCGCGGGGCTCTCTTAGTGGGGCCGATAAGTGGAAAATATCATAAGAATCGTGCACTTCTGGAAGAAAGCATGAAAATTTCAGGGATTCATCTCTACCCTATAGACATTCGATTCAGACATAGACCCCAAAAATCTGAGCCCCCTGGGGGGGCAGGGGGGCCCCCAAATTTTGAATTTTGAATAACTACGGAACGGCTAATGTTAGCGTAATTTTTTTAAGCAGGACGATAGGAAATTTTATCAGGAACAAAAATGGTTCCTATGAATTTTTCTGTGGGATCGATATTTAAGGCGTGAAACGGGAAAAACCATCGGGGGACGGGGAGCCGGCCGTTCTGAGGCAGACCCGCGCGCTGCGCTGTTTGCCCGGGACGCGCGCGGCGGCGCAGTACGGTGTTACCGACGAAACAGCCGCTTGTCTTGGTTTAATCTCAACGATGCGCAGTTTTAAAAATAATAATGAATTTACCGTACTGCCTAAATACTTTTCCTCAGTAATATAAGCTCTACTTTTTATTAGTAATACATAAAAACAAGCAAAAGCGAAATACTCCAATGTGAGAGCGCCGAGTCAATAGGAGGGATCGGTCATCGCGCATCACGCGTCTTGTTTTCTCTGAATGCAGAGCTTTTCCGACCTCATTACAGAGTAAATTACCCTTTCCTCACGTAAGTTTTGTACAGGATTACATTTTTTTAAGATATTAGAGCGAAATAACAAGTTTTAATACGATTTTGACCCACTTTTTCATGACTATTGGAAATGGCGGATCCTTCGTAACTTATTTTTAGCTTATTTTTCATGTTACTTTCGGCGAATGAGACAATGAGCTGCTTACATAACCATGAATTTTGCAAAACTTGGTAGAGATATTAATTGAGGAGTGTGGAGGGAGGGGAGGGGGGCTCCACAGTCCCTTCGCCACTATAAGGTTACCAGATTTCCTTCAAAATGAAGGAAATATCGTTTTTCGTTCATGTTCATTGGTTTCTCGCAATTGCATAGGTACTGATTCATACGGAACATTCCGACAATGTTCTTTTCTCCTCTTTTTCCCTCCAGCCAGTCAATAGAAGTTTTCATTTTCATGAACTCCCCATTTTTTCAGTTATTCAACAAATATGCATATTTAAAAAAAAATAGAACAATACATTAAATAAATGATAAAAAAGAAGATATCTGAATACTATCGCCTCTTTTTATCGAGTCATCCTTGAAGATATTATTGGTACTTACCACGACACATAGAAAATGGAATGAGCAGTAAAAAAAATCCATGTATATTATCTTACATTTTGTTGTATGGAATTTAGAGTGGAGTTGGTAACATTTGTATTGAAAAAAATATTAATATAGGAGGAAATTTATTTATCATGCAGGTTCTGATTCTTTAAAGAACCTCTGAGAAGGACCAGGCCTCAGGAAGAAATTCATTGCATTTCTTCTTTTTCAACCCGCAAATCTCGTACCGATTTTTGATTTGTATGGAGCTCATGGAAGAGTTCTAGGTAAGTATGTCGGAGACAATTTTCAAGAAACGGGACTTGCAAAATATGCAATGCACAAAACGTACACCTTAAACTTTATCGTACATTATAACACTGATCGAATTAGCTTTAGAGATTATCAAAAGGTTAATTTATCGTCAAAATATCAAAAAATCAGTCAAAATCAGTAATCAGTAATCAGTTGCAAAATTACCGAGATTGCGGAATATCGTACCTATGATGCGCTGACATAAGAGCAGGATAGGTTCCCAGTACTTAGGCGCGACTTCCTATCACTCAAATGGACCGTTTTGACAGATTAGCGGATACGGCGGCTAGTTATTACTTAATAATATTCTTTGTACTGTACAAGAAGCAGTCCAACAAAGGTTTTTTGGGGGTCATTTATCCCTATCAAGCTTTCTCAAGATTCTTTTGCCGTTTTTTTGGAGCAAGTTTTGAAGGTGGTTTTGGTCCTCTTAAAAAAATGCCTATACGTAGCAATGATGTACCAAAATGTTCCTGAAAGAGAGGAGAATAAGCATGTTTTTATGTATGCTCATTGTTTACAAAATTAGGCTCCCTGTCTTAAGTAAGCATATTTAGATACCATCCTGATGTCGCAGCACCGAGAGAAAGAGAAAGAAAAACACTTTAAAATCATTTTTCAGGTCATCGTGGTACACAAATAAGATTTGTGACTTTTAGCCCCCCCCCCTTCCCGAGACAACTGTGCCTCAGATTTTATTCCGTTCAACTGATGTCTGATGCAGTTATCTCGGATGCTGTAATAAAACTTGACAAACCCATACAACAAAACAATTCGGAACTCCAGCACTTAACCCCTTCTCTTTCTGTTGCCGTGCGCTCGCTTGTATACATATATTACCTGCATAAGTTAAGCCCTATTTTAAGGCTTTATAGGTAGTACGATATATTCACAATACTTTTAAAACTGCGCATCGTTGAGATTAAACCAAGACAAGCGGCTGTTTCGTCGGTAACACCGTACTGCGCCGCCGCGCGCGTCCCGGGCAAACAGCGCAGCGCGCGGATCTGCCTCAGAACGGCCGGCTCCCCGTCCCCCGATGGTTTTTCCCGTTTCACGCCTTAAATATCGATCCCACAGAAAAATTCATAAGAACCATTTTTGTTCCTGATAAAATTTCCTATCGTCCTGCTTAAAAAAAATTACGCTAACATTAGCCGTTCAGTAGTTATTCAAAATTCAAAATTTGGGGGCCCCCCTGCCCCCCCAGGGGGCTCAGATTTTTGGGGTCTATGTCTGAATCGAATGTCTATAGGGTAGAGATGAATCCCTGAAATTTTCATGCTTTCTTCCAGAAGTGCACGATTGTTATGCTTATCGGCCCCACTATCTTGGAAATTGAGATGCACCCTTACGTTCGCAAAGCGAGGAATATTGTGCGCTGAGTGTAGTTCACGGATCCCTGAGAAGGAATAAAATGCAGGGCAGGGGCGTAGCTAGGAAATTTCTCGGGGGGGGGGGCATGGGACCACCTCTCGTGGTGAAGAGAGCAGGGGGGGTGAGGAATGGAGGATCCCGTTTTTCTGGGGGGGGGGGCACGAGATTTCTGGGGGGCCAGGACCCCCCTAGCTACGCCCATGATGCAGGGAAAAGTTTGAACGGGGAAAATGAATAAATTCTCGCTCAAGTTTTCACAAAAATTAAAATGTCTTAAATTCCTTGGAGGACCCGACAGTTCCCTTTTTTGCTGTTAGTGCGTATCTCAATTTCCATACGAGCCCCGAAAAGCATCGATTTAGGCGGAAAATAAGATTCAAACGAAAACGAAAATCAATTTACGCCCTTAGCGTCAGAAAAGCAAAGAATAGAGAATTTGCAAGAAAATGGTTTACTGCTGCATCTGAAAGTGCTTAGTGAGCTGCGTTCACAATATTTTTCATAATTTTTCCTGTGGGAAATTGCAGAAAATTGGATGTAAATGTGAGAAAATCTGCCGCTTTGTGACGTCATCGGACACTGCAATATCTCTCCTTTTAACACATGAATTTTGGTAGAGTAGGTCATTTTGTGGTGTGTTATCTAAAAATTGTTCATTTTAGAAACCAAGAATATCCTCCTGCTCAATTCACTCAATAGTTTCTTCTTAAACACGGAATCCACACAATTTCAGACCCTTGGAAATTCTCTATTGTCTCACGGACATTTTACTGGATCCGTGGCCAAAAAGCAATTATCACATTTTGTCACATTAGGTCACATTTAATCGTGCTATCAATATATCACGATCGGGTGGTGTGATTGGCTAATTCGATGACTTGGCGGGCCAATCATAAAAAAACTCAGCTACCACCTAAAGCATGGTTGTCACAGTCAGGGAATATCGGGAAAATCGGGAAATGTCAGGAAATACCGAAAAATGTCAGGGAAAATGACGAAAATGACGAACATTTTAGGGAAAATGACAAAAATAACGTATGTCAGGGAAAATGACGAAAATGGCATACATACCAGGGAAAATGACGAAAATGTCAGGCAAAATTTGTTAAATCACCTTCACTTGCTTTCAAGAATGGGTTTGAGATTTTGAACAAGAAATTTTGCCTGAAAACTATTTTCAGTTATGCCCTCTTAACCATCCGTCACATCTTCAATTGTCAGGGAATTTCACCAAAATGCATCAGGGAAATCAGAAAAATGTCAGGGAATTTCATTTACTAAATTCTGTGGCAACCTTGATGGTTTCATAATTCTGAGTTCTGTTCTTTAAAAACCAATTCATTCCGTTTCAGGAGGAGTTCCGGCGTCTGTACAAGCAGCTGGGCAAACTGCGAGAGGAGAACATGAGGCAAGGGAACCGGCACCTGGCCGCGCGGATATCCGCCATGCAGGAGGCCGGCCGACAAGGCTACGCCGACGACGACATCCTCGAGGAGGACAGCTCCGACTGCATCCTGACCACGGAACTCTACGTGGTCAACAAGACCGAGTCGGTCGAGGTCCAGGTCAACAGCGAGGACATCGCGTCCGCCTCCACGCCGCCGGTGGCGCGCTCTACGGACGAAGCCCGAAGCTCCGAGGAAGTCTCTCACTCGCAAAGCGAGCAGTCCAACTCGCGGACGGCCAAACCGAAAACCAAGACGAAAACGAAATGCTCAAGAAAGTTGTTGCACAAGAAATTAGGGAATAGTAAGACGGCGGAGAAATCGGGTGCCGCCAACGCGGCTGCGACCGAGAGCAACCCGACGAGCCCGAATAGTTCGAATAATTGTTGTAAATCGCCTAATTTGAAGTCGGGTCACGCCAAGACCCACGCAATTGTAATTAATTTAGATGATAAGAATAGGTTCACGGAGGAGGTCACCGTATGACTTTGGTTTTTCCTTCATGTGGGGAAGCCCTTCGCTAGGCAAATGCGGGATGAGACATTGTTTCGGTCGAATTTTTGCATATGGGTTAGATTTTTTGACGTATTGCCAACCTTCGTTACAAACATGAAAATTAACTTTGGCTTTTGTGGTGCGTTTACAATATTTGAGTTTATATCTTGAAAGGACTGACGCTTTCGTCAACAATTTTGGATGCACGAGGAGAAAAATAAAACTTTTCCAATATTTTCTCATAGATAGATGAAGAGAACTTGTGAAAAGATCTAAAAAGTTACAAGTCGTAGCTTTCTAATGCGCCATACAAATGAAAATTTGGTCCAAACTGGGGTTTTCTAATCCTATCCCCAATCCGCGCTGGTCAAATTTCATTTTAAGTCCCGGATGCAACTATTCGAACTCTGTGGATGCCCGTGTTGCATGCGCACGGAGTTGAAGGCGTTTTGACTGTCCGAGCACTCAGCTTTTCACCCGCGGCCAGCGGCGTGGGGCGCGGTGTCAACGGCAGGCTTTACGCTTTACTGCGAGGATCCAAATTGGCAAAACGCTTTCAAATCTTAGTTTGTACTTCAGAGATATCTTCTTGCTTGCGGTAAGCAACAACTGCAGGAGCTCGTTTCCTATGACAAACAATTTAACGGAATAACCTTCTGATAGAGGTCGGACATGAAATGTTTTACTAAAATTTCAAACTTTAATGTCCATTACTTCGCATTTTAAAGTTCAAGGGGTGTCTCTTGAAGGAAAATTAATGAGGGCATTAGCATTTAAAGTTTCAAAATCATGTCCGACTTTTCGTACTAACTCGATCCATTCTGTGATGCTCCGTCTTTTGGACCCGCGCGAAGTAGAGGTTGATCAAGAAAAACCCAATTTTTTAAGGTTCTACAGGACCACGTTTTAATTTCTGTAATGCATTATAAAGCTGAAAATAGTATTTTTTAGAACTCTTTACAGTTCTTTTAAACTATTGCAGTTTAGGATAAATATTGAATAGGTAAACTTACTTGCTGGACAACCCTCGTAACCCCCTGATTAGGGCTCGTAAATGGTTGAATAAAGACACTGGCACTAAAATTTGAGTAACAAGATCAAACTGCTGCTACCAAACCGGCGAGAGCAGGGTTTTTATTTGTTATCAATACATTGTTTGTTTGTATAATTCGTTCACTTTGCCGATTCGGTCGCTATCAGTTTGATCATGCGTCGAAGCGTAAGTTAAATTACTACCGATTCAAGTCATCAACCTCTGTAGGTTACAACCCTCTTTTTAGTGTTCAAAAGGTACCGAATTCATTCGCGAAAATAAAACTGAAAATTACTTCGAATTTGAGAAACTCCTCTTCATCCTGTACTCAGTGTACTCTCGTGTAAATCACTGTGTCACCACGTTAATGCAGAGTTAGTCAATTTTCAAGAGAAAAGTAAAATAGGCGGGTTTGATCAGGAGTACTGTCATTTTTCCAGAGGTATCTCCGACTTTATCATAAGTAATGTTAAGTAGATCGGTGTCACCTGCACGCGCGGTGTTCAAATTGGACGTATTTCTGCCACACGGAACTATGTGCATTATTACGTGAGCCCTGTTATGCATGTATTCTTATGGGTCTCAGGGCTAATGTATGAATGCGTTTGGCAGAAATACGTCCAATTTGCACTGGGATTTGTCCGATTAGGTGCTTGTGAAATATGCGGATTTCACTGAAAGAGCTGTCATTTTTCGTGAACCTGGTTTCCTCATCGATGAAAAATTTCCACCGGCAATGATAATGTTTGCATCGTGATTCACAGTTTTGGCAAAGCGTGAGACGTGTAGATCATAAAAATGTCACGGGAAATTTTCATACATTTTGTTCCCTAATTAGATTTTTCCGACTTAATTTTTGACAGTCCTGAACATTACGCATAAATGAAAAGGTGAATGCTCCGATACACTTTTTTATAACACGTGTGAATATTACGATGCTCTGGAGGCAATAATGTTTTGAGTTTTATTTTTGTTTTGCAATAATATCTTATAGAGCCGTATTTCCATTTATTCATGCACATAAACGTTTTTTTGATTGTTCGTTACTTAAGTATATGCTCTTTCTTTTCAATGTGAGAACCCGTTTTCTTATAACTCATAATTGTTCTCAAAGAGCTAATTTTATATTCTGCCTGCAATTGCAAGCGGAGACGCAATTTTTAATGTTAACATCATAATCGAATTCTTTCTGAAACTTAAAACAAAACATGATTACATATTTTCAAATACACGTTACCAAAATAAAGTTTTCTCGTGATAATTACTTTTTTAAAATTTTGACCAATGAACAAAAGGATTTTACTGGATAAAGCAATGCACGAATGTATTTATCATCTGTTTATCTTACAGTATATTGTGCGCTGAAAGATTCATTGATTTCGTTTCTTTAAACTGATAATGAATGGTTAATCATTCGATTCTCTTTTCTTTTTATGTATGTTCTGTTTTTAGATCATTAAGACGCTGTCTTGATTTGTATACAGGCAGTATAATATTCCTGCAAATTTGTAAAGAGTTATTTGAACAAGACTTTTTTTCCTCTCAGAGAGCTTGTAGAATGTAATCAATTTAATCTCAATTACTTATACTTATACAATTTACGCGAAAAAAAAGTTATGAAGAACGAACGTATTAAAATTGTGCTCAAATCTAATAATCACTAATATGGATGGTAAACACAGAGTAAACTGCGAATTATGCAACATAAAATTAAAATACTTTTTATGGAGAAAAAAATGGTGGAAATTATGGTTGAAAGTCATGTTATTGCATAAACTTGCGGAATTATTTGAATATTTTCGTTGCACTGAGCTAATCAGGAAGGCCAGCGGGGGACGAAAAGGGGGTGGTTGTCGCGGNGGGGGGGGGGGGCGAAAGGAGAGAAAGATTGAACGGAGAAGACAAATTCCTTAGTGTGATCGTACCGGGTAACTACCGGCGACGATTTTTGTAACCACTTGTCTATTTTTCTCCTCTGCGTTCAAGTCTCCAGACATATGCCCGTTCAAAAAGTGGTAGTGCTGAAAAATTACAATGACGCATGATAAAAATTTTCCATATCATGGTGTTTACGCGGCGATCCTGCTACAAATTCCTCCTATTTTTCCCCTTCTATCCTTTTCCCTATTCTTCCTCTTCTCGGGCGGGAAATAAATAAAAACAGTTTTGTGAAAACAACGTAAAATAAGCATTCACGTTAATGACCGTTCATTGGTGAACGGTAAGTGCGATTAGGCTCATATTTGAACTCAGACATTATCCAACATGAAAACTTAACTCTGAAAAACTTGAATAAGTTGACACAAATGTAACAAAATTTAACGAGCCTACAAAAAATCGCTGCGAGAGACTAACTGTTCTAGGGGGAATGATACCACTATTCGACCACATGGGAGCTTATGTTGCCGTAACTGAAATTGAAGGCGAACTGACTTGGCGATAATGTGATATTTTCCCGTTTGTGTAAAAAGATTGCTTTTTGTATGTGACCATCGAGTGACCGAGCACTTTCATCATGTTACCACTTTTCTTATTCTTTCTCTTCCTTCTTCTTTCTATCCTTCCTGTCTCTCTAATGCTCTTTTTTCTCTTTTTACTCTTCTCTCTAACACTCTAATTTTCTATTCCTGCTTTATTTTTCTTTCTTTCCTTTCTCTTTTTTTCATCCTCTGCCTCCTCATTCTCTTACCTGATTTTTCCTCTTTCCGTTACTTCTATTTCTCTCTCTTTTCTTCTTCTTTCCTTTTCCTCCTTCTCATCTCTCTTTTCTTCTTCTTCGGCGTAAAATAGCTGTCGTGCAAGAAACCGAACTCAATTGTCACTCACAAAAAATCGTCGGTAGATTTGGACCTTAAAAAAACCTAGACGACTTTTTAGAATATACGAACTAGGAAACCCTTTTCGTTTCTCTTTCGTTAGTTATACACATAAATTTCAGCTCAATGATGCTTTGCACCGAAAAATGACGGAAAAGTAAAGTGAATAAATATTGCACATTGTGAAATTAGTGCCATTTTGTAACTAGCACAGAATTTTGACGCACTCGCAAGAATAGAGGGTACACTAAATTTTGACTTTTTGGGATTGCCAACAAGATAAGGGACCCAAATCATTTCATTCTCATTAGGACATTTCGTGCTTTAAGTATGGAAAACTTGAAGTTTAAATCCGTTTTATATTAATACTGCGCTTTTCTGAACTCCAAACTCTAAACGGCTATGATTCCGGTTCTGACATTCTCTGTTCCGGAAGGATCCGTAAAACTCTCATGCTTTCTTTGGTACCATTTAAGCAAAGTTGAATATTTTTGGACTAAGGTCCATTTCCTTTCTGAGAGTCACATTGGTGCCGTGGCGTACTTTGCAATATATCGACTGATCTGCCATTTAAACCAATGGAGTAGAATCGATCACCAGGGTGCGTCCGCAACGAACAAGTATATAATCGATTCTTTATCATAGCTTCAAATGGGATTACTAGATGAGAGATTTGTATTTCATGGGGATGGGGGATGGGGAAACTAGATAATCGATCATTCATGCCTCACCACTGAGTCACATGTCTGGGTATTTAAAATAATAAGTTTGGAATTAGATTATAGGAAAGCTCTGTACGGACAGAGGAGCTTTAGTCATAAAATCTTCATAATATACTAGCATTTACCGAAGTTATATCTCAAAAAAATTATAAGTTGTGCACTCTAAAAAATAATAAATAAAACGATCAATGAATGCCTTTTTTCATCCACTGGCATGATGACACACTATAACGCCTGTACCGGAATGTATTTCAAACCATTTGCAGGTCCACTTGCATTTGCTTAGGTATTCCTTGAAAGCGAAGTTTTTGGCAGACCTTGGTTTTGTTCATTTTTTAAACATGTTACTTGTTAATTTTTAAAATTAATTGCTGTATTATCTATGCTTGAAAAAGAAACGCTTGTAAACTATTATGTACATAATATATTTATATTCCAATTAATTTATTTGTTAAACTGTTTTATAGTTTTGTGGCCAAAAACTTAATTATAAAATAAAAGGAAATTATTAGCCATCAAGTTGCGTTGAACAGTATTTATAATTTCGAACATGGGTGGTAGAAATGCCCCACCAAGATGGCGGGATCAACAAGTAAAACAAACCATAGTCAATTATTCAAAATTCCTTGGGTACATGATGCGCTCGAACGACGACAGCTACGACTTGGAGCAAGAAATATTTATTAAAGTTATTACATGGAAAGGGTTGAAACAATCCAATATTTCACTCTTTATATTTTATCAATTTTGATCATTTATAATCAACCTCGTAAGAGAAGTCGATTTTGCTGTATCCATTTTCTGAACGAAACTTCGCGATTAAAAATAATCGTATTCTGTTCCTATTATGAAGATAAGTCAAGTTAATCGAAGTTTCAATCGAGTCAATTGCAACCTATTGTAGGGACAATTAAAGCAATTTAGAGTCAATTGAAGTCTCATTGTATTCAGAGTCAAATAGATTAATAAAATGAGATACACTGAAATGTCACTTGAAATTAGCGTCAATGTTGTCTCGATCTTATCCTCAATACGGGGACAGAATATCACCATTTTCGCCAAAGATTTTCGGGTGAAAAGATGAGTAAAATTGTACAAATCCTTAAATCCCCCCCCCCCCCCTAACATCCTTCAATTGGTTGATTCGTCACACTGAAAAAAAGTATGGTGACATTTACTGTGAGTCTACTTGATTCTTTACACAAGTGCTACTATTAAATGAAGCTAACCAAAATAATAGTATTATTCGCCAGAACTCAGGTAATTCTTATCGTATTAATATCGTAAATGCTATCATAGAGTCTGGTATTTATTACCATGCTTGTATCACTGTGTCAGAGTATGGTAAAGTCTAGTATATTTTTTTCAGTGCAATATTTTATTCGCGTTCCATCGTATTATTCTTTCAATCGGTGAGATAGACAATAGCTTTCAATCGCGTAAAATATCTCCTAAAAGAGAATCAATCGAAAAAGACAACTTTGTTGGCTTTGATGGCCGTATACTCTCTCGCCGTGACAGGGCATCCGAATTAGTTTTACCATCTCCTATTCGCAATCGACCCGTTTCCTCGGTAAAATTAGCATTCCAGCTCTTCACTGGTTGCAGTAAATTCGGATCCACGAACACTTTTCTTCTTTGAATTCTCTCCGACAGCTCAGCGTCACGTTCAGAACTGCTCCGCGCGTCACCTGAAACATTCAAGGATCCATTCAAATCACACGATAGATTTTACGTAGTGAATGCGTCGCCTCCAAGTCGGAAGAACGTAACTAAATGTCAGTGTTGCAAAATTGCCATTCGCAAATCAAATTTCACCAAGTTATCGTCGCCTCTAAGTCGAAAGAACGCAACTAAATGTCACTGTTGCAAAATTGTCATTCGCAAATCAAATTTCACCAAGTTAACTAATGCGCGTTTCTGACTAAAAATGATACTGATTTTACAACACGCCATAAATAGCAAAATTTTGTGAGTATAAAATAAAGCAAAAAAAAAATTGCAGCGTTATATTGGTATAAAAAACTGTTTTTTAGTCAATTTAGCAACCTTGAGATTAAATTACGTTCCCTCGGGTAGTAAACGACGATCTGTCACTAGGCTCTTCAAATCGAATATTGTTAATCATGTCACAGAATTTACGTCGATGAGCAGACCTGTTAAAACCAGACGCTGTTGTGTGGGCGTGATATTTGTAATTTCTCTTCGGTGATTGCGTATACGAGTGAAAATCAAAACCAGACAAAGGAAGCAAAAAAATGACATAACGCATTGGTCGACGAGTGTAAAAAATATCCAGGAGCTGTTCGACCTAGCAGCCAAGCACAATGTGCACCCCTGATGTCGCAAACCAAGGTGCGTAGTATTGTCCGTCACTATCAGAGTGTACACATTCAAACTAACCACGAAATCCAACATATGTAATAAATAAACACGCCGCTAGCATATACTAAAAATATAGTGAATGTAGATACTTTTTATTAATTTATGAAAACAAATACTCTCTTTGGTCTGATAGAAAGTTTTTCTTGTTCTTGAAAGACATTTTAAGAAAAATTGATGCAAGGGTATTTTTTTTCATCATGATAAAAGAAAATGTGTCATTAATGACGAAACAACCTATGTCTATAAATAACTTCCGCTTGAATTAGCAAAGGAATAAAAATAACATTTCAAATCCACATTCTCTTTTTTCTATGGAGAGGAGATTCTTGCGGGTAAAAAAGATGAAAAGATAAAACATTTTTCTCACGCAAAATATTTTTAAATCCTTAAAATTAGTTCTTTAAACAATTTTTTCCGTGAACTACAAAAGTGCATCAAAGCAATCGAGCAACAGTATCCAACGCATGATAAAAGTCTCCCGGCAATTTATTAACACACAGTGGCAGCTTGAAGGCACCTCATGTTGACAGATCGTGCTGAAAATGAAGCACATTTCTCAATTTAACACGGTGTCAAATATCCATATCTTTTCTCACAAGCTGGCAACCTTGAGGCACCCTCAAAACGCGAGAAGAATCTCCCGCCGACGACTTGACATCCGACGCCTACATAAACACTATCGTGACACAGTGACTGGAGTGCCGACACGCTGTCTGGGACGTCTGCCTCGACGACGGGAAGGGGTGTCAAATCACGGAGGGATGGTCTGCCCGGCTGAGCATTAACCACCCAACTCCAAGTAGAATCCCTATTTAAATACGCGGTTCCCTTCATGCGGAGCAGTAGGGCGGTTCTCCTTCACAGCCATGCTAAGGAAAAATGTCTTATGAACTTTCATATGTGTTGCCAAATTTCCCCTAATTAAATATGTATTAGGGAGGAAAGTATTGCATATTTCACCTTAAAAGGCAGTGTACCAATGAGGACCGTTATAGAGCCTTATTATAGAGAATTTACTTAACTCTTTGGCGATTTTTAGCTCATTATAGGTCCATATTTTACGAAATGCAACATAATTTGGTTATTTTCGGTCTCATTTCGGATGTTAGACATGGGTCTGATGGCCAATTGTGGCAAAAAAATGCGAGTTTTGTTGGTCAAATGCTAAAATTCTCATTTTTCACCGAGATCAGCCTCTAGATCCACGCTTAGGACAGTATTACATCCAAAATAAGACTCAAAATGACCAAATTACAAGGCGTTCTGTAAAAAATGTATTTTTAATGGGCGAAAAATCGCAAAGTTGAGGGAATTCAGCTAGGCTGCCGAGATACGAGAGAAAGCCGTGAGTGCATTTGCGTATGAGCCACGATTAGCACATGCTATTATGTGTCTCGAGACTCATCCCAGACCGCGCTTATAGCTCTTTTCTGTATTACGGCAGTAGAGAGGGCCCAAAAGCCCCCGTATTGACACTCAACCTTTCCAGATATTTTAGACTAAAGTATGAACGGAAACCGAAGAAAAATATCTACAACTTTCCCAATAAATTCTTATTTTATCAAGGGGATTTTGGCAGCGTCTGAAGGCTCATACGGCGTTTTTACTTAGCAGGCTTGGGCGGAAGTCGGTCCGCCGATGCAGGGAAATCTAAAACTTGACACGGGAATGTGTGAATGCGTTCACCCCTGTCAGGGTGACGCGTGACACCGTGACAACCGAAGCGAGTCACTGTCACTTCACTCACGGGCTCAAGACGCGAGACCGAAAATTAACACTTCATCTATCAATAGCTTACACGGATATTTAACCATACCGCTTTATCTACCTATTTATCATCGCTGGAATATAGTCGAGGAGGAAAGCTTCTGTTTAGTTCAGCGACATTCATTGTTAGGATTAAATTGCTGCTGAAGCGGTAGTTTGCACTTCGGCCCAGTCTCAGGCAGAAAAAATTACATTTCGTACCTTTAAAATATTGGCAAAAGGTATTCGTATCATATACTGTTGAAGGAAAAAATTAAAAATTTCAGATAAGGTCTTAGAGCAAAATTGTGAAAAAATTGAAAAGGAAAGTATTTTTAAAATTTCTGCAAACGTTCCACAGTATGTCCGCCGACTTGAAAATATCCTAGAAATATCCGAAAGATAAAGTGCTGTCCTCGATATTTTTGAAATGTTTAAAAATTGTGTTACTTCTGATTGGCGCGATTTCTAAACTTGTTCGACTCGTCAGGTTTTCAGGGGGGCGCTCTTCGGAATTTAATATAATTGTATTTGAATCCTTTAATCGATCATTCAACATGGTAAGAGATTTTGATACATGTTTTTTTTCCCATCAGAATTCCGCGTAGAACACACGGATAAAAATTTTGGTAATGCGGGTGCTAGGCGTATGGTTACTCCGAATATTACCCGGAATATTAATGGTTAAAAGATTCCCTTGAAAGCCAGTACAGTAGAGCAGTGACGCACCCAGTGTCGTACTTATTTTCCTGTGCATGATACACGCGTTCAAAATTTCCAAATATGACGCAGAGATGAGAAATTAAAATTTTCCGTGTTCGTAATTCGACTTTCCTGTTCCACAATAAATCAAAGTTTAATCTGACGTGGCACTAAAATGATTTTTTTCTTTGCATGTTTACAAGTGCAAGTTCTGGAAAAAAGAGAATTTTCCTCTGCAACCCAATTCAGCCTATGAACGAAAAATATTTGTTTTTCCAATAATTAGGAAATAGCAGCTGATCCGGGAAACCACACAGTTACCTGCATTCATCTGTTTTTGAATAATCCCCTTGACAATATACTGTAATTAAAGTAATTGATTGATATACGTGATATACGTATAATTTCGTATTTATACCTTTGTACGATGAGACTGTGTCTGAGGAAGTAAGTTGCTGTTTGTAGAGAACCTTTTGAAATTCTATAATTTTCCGCCTTTGAATTTCTTTTTGATGCAGCGCACCACGATAGCCGTCATTTTTTAGATTTATTTGATGCCTGCAGAAAAGAATTTCATTTTCAAATAACTTCAAATAGAAGGACGATAGTCAATGTTTCGTGAGTTTATGAATGTTTAACCGAGAGCTGGTAAAATGGCTTGGAGTTTGAAATGAATTTTGAAAACCACCGTAGTTGCATTAATTTGATGCAACTCGATACATTCAGGACATGATTAATTTTCCAGTATGATATGATTTAATGAGCCTTCAATTATTCGAGTCAGCTTCACTCAAAATGTAACTGACACTAGACTGCAGAATTTTCTCGGATTATGCTCTTTTAGAATTAGTGTGTGGATCGAAAACAAATATGAGATCATCAAAATTTGATGGATTTCAACTGTTCTCACATCGGTATCTTCCGACTGCTTTCCTCTAAAACTCAAATTCTTAAAAACCGTAGGTAAGAAAGTGTGAAAAAAAGTCATGATTCTGAATTAGGTATCATTTATGCACATGAGTGTGCAATCAAATTTTAAATTTATGAAGAACCAACAAAAATTTACCTTCTTAGGGCTACTTGAGCAGCCATGACTTTTTGTCTTTGAATAATCAGCAAACAATTCGCGCATCTGCACTCTCGCCAGCGGCAAAGTTTTTTGTGGCCCCTCAGGTATGATATGATGCCATGATTACGACATCTTGCACATTTAGGGGTTCGGAGCCTTCTCAAAGTGTCTGGTTGTGTTGATTCTCTGGTCATTTTGTGTAGCTTAAACAGGCGTCTTATACATTAGCACTCAATGAGACAGTGAAAAAATCTGAAAGAAGAACATAGGTTTCAGTTAAAAAGTAAAAAAGACTGACAATGAGTGGTAAACGACTAACAGTGAGTACTGAGTAGTGTCTTAGTAGTAAAGAATAGTAAGAACTCGCGCTGCTAATCGCGTATTCCAAATGATACCACTATTCAAATTTCTTGGAATCCATTTTGCCTACCCGATCAGTTGAAGGCGAATCAGTTGAATTCATTTCCAGAGTAATGTATAATTTACTGTTGTTCAATAAAATAAAACTTGAAAAATAAGAAATAGGTTTTTGTCACTCTTCTTAAAAATTATAGAAATTTAAATAAAATTCAGTTGTAAACCCTTCCCTCCTTTGCCGAACCGTTTATTTTGTTTTTTTGCAAATTTTATTCGGTCGAGGAATGAGGGGAAGTCTAAGAAAGAAGCGACAGTAAGTGGAGAAAAAATAGAAGGTCTCGGTTTGGCTTTTTTGTCCCGTAATAATGAGGTAAAAAATGGATGCACTTAAAAAATTCAATTTTAAGAAAAGTGACCACAAAAACATCATAGTTGAGAAAAAATGGATCATTCAATGCGCGTTTACCCCATGCGGTCTAGGAAGAACGTGATCTGCAATAGAAAAAATTACAAAACCCAGTAAGTTAGTCCGACGAAAAGGAGCAAAGTCCCTGGAAGGTCCGGTCTTGTTTTTAGGGCTGAAATAATGTTTGGTGTCCTGCTTCATTGAAAATTACAAAAATTTAGACGGAACCTGGTTCCATCCTGCCTCTCACCCTAATTTTATTTTTCCCCCAAATTTGATAAGGACGAAGAGAGAGAGAGAAGGTATAAGAGAGAAGGAAGAATAAGAAGAATCCATTTTCCGTCTTTAGTTCCATTATCATTAAAAAAAAAATAGAGGTTCAACCTTAAACGTCGCAAGACCCCAAAACTTAATAATTCGCAAAAATTGGATCATTCAATGCGAAAATACTCCATGCAGTTTAAGATAAACGTGATCCACCGTGGGAAAAGATAAAATCCCAGGACGCGATCAAGTGAATTAGTCCAAAGGAAAGGAACTGAGTTAATTACCTATTTAGTCGGCGAATCCAAACTTTGGCGGGACGAAAATCACCGCGCGCGCTGAGGTCACAAATTCAACTGTTAAACGCTCCACTCATCCGACGCGAGGTATAATTAACGAAGCTGAGCGTGAAATGGGATCAAAATAGAGGGTAAGAAGCGGAGTTTACGAAAAAAAAGAGGGTGTCGCGAAGAAGAAATGCTCCGGGTGAAATATCGCCGGGTATCACTTCCTCCGGAGCTGACGATTGGCGAGAGGAAAAGGCGGGCACAGGGGCGTGACCGCCCCATTCATCTTCGCTTCCTCCCGACTCCTGATCCGTGATTGCAGGAGGAATAGGAAGAGTTGGTACTTGATATGCATTGCCTGTGGTCATTGGTCAAGATGGAAACATTTTAATGGAATTCTTTGCCTGCTCGGCAGACTGAACCCATCAAGTCGAGTGAATAGAAATTTTTCAGTTGTCTGAAAATTGATGAATTACGTGTTTAAGTGTAAACTACTCAGTGGACTGAACACGAGGATACCCTTGGTTCATGAATTGAACAATTTTTGCATAAGATATGACAAAATGATCTAATCTGCTAAAATGCATGCGTTTAAATGGGAAATACCGCAAGATGACGTCACTTGGCGGTGCATTTTTTTCACTTTTAAATATATTTTTATACTTTTTCCCATTGCAGGAAAAAATTATGAAAAATACTGCAAAATCAGCTCTTCAGGCACTTTCAGATGAAGCAATAAAAAATTGCATGCAAATTCTCCATAATGGACATTCAAAAGATCCTTAGTGACATTAATTTTCTGCAATGATTACGCATGTTTTTTCTCACTATAAATGCATTAAAAAGTCGCGTTTGGACTATTTTTTGCAATTAGGAACTACTATTTCTGACTCATGCGTAAATTCACCTATCCACATAAATCAAAGAGGTAAAGAAGGGGGAAGAATACGGAAGAAAGTGTTGGGGATCATCCCCTAAAATTGTGGTAGTACCCCAATGATACGTACATTTCCAATTCATTGTGGTAGTACAGCAACATTTGAGCTAGTAACCTAATTTATTGGGGCACTACCACAATTAATTGGAAACATACCTATCATTCAACAACCCCAACCTCTTTTTTCCGCGAATTGGAAGAATAGGTGGAGGGAAAAGTAGAAGAAGAGGAAGGAAAGATAAGAAAAATTAATAGGTACGGGAAAAAATACGTAGAAAATAAAAAGGAACAAGAATAAGATAAGAGGTAGGGAAAAGAGTGATAATATAGAGAAAGGAGGGAAAAAAGAAGAAAAATTCAATTTATAAGGCATTGAGATTGATAGACTGATGTCCCCTCCAATGTAAACTGAAAGTTTTTCCGTCGAGTGATTGAAAAAATTTACGGTTTCCTTCCTAAGAGCTATGAACTGGTGAAAAAAATGGGGAGAGGCATGTTTGCGATCCCGTGTGGAATTATTCACGTGATAAAACTAATGACACTTGAAACACGGTGTTTCACATTGGTACGATCGAAATAGGAACAAAGAGGAAGACTCGGAGGTGAATATTCGTGACAATTCTCTGAAATCATTAATTATCCGTGACTTGAAACAATTGGACAGCTAGGTGTTGCAGACCGTTCAGTTCACTAACATCGCCTGTCCGAGGGGTGCTACGGAATGCTATTGTTATCTTACTGTGCAGTGTCCGTTAGTTGCATGAGACATGATGCGCAAATTTCTCAGCGGCTCCTGAATTTGACTGATGTCAACACAAAGCCGCGTTGCTTTGAATCCAGATGGTAACCATCATGTTGAATTATGAATTTCAAACTATAGTCTGAAAAAAGATCCATGCATTAATATAATCCAACCTATTTTGGTTTTTGCAATAAAAGCAACCAAATGAAATACTTCAACCTACTGCTTGAACAGTTACTTCATTTGAGTTGCATGCAGGAGCAGGTCGCAGGGCATTTACAACATCTTTATTGCAGATACTCGATTTACTAATCTCGTTTTCGGCTACCGCCAAATTTCCCTAGATGAATCATTAATTTTGGAGGGTAGTTACTTTTCTCTTACTTTAGATCAAATTGTGAATAATTTATTTGAAAAAGGTACACTTAGAAAAAACGATGGTTAAAATTACCATATCAGTAGTGCTCTATAGCCACTCGGAAATCTTAGCCAAAAATATTGGGTATTCGTGTCTCTATGCTCACTGGAAAAAAAAAACACATTGGATGTAGAGTCCAGACTCTTAAAAACATCGACAGTAAAAAGTACCCTTGTTTCAATCAGAATCTAGCTTAAATCAAGAACCAAGCCTCTTAATTTAAGCGGATTTCGTTTTGATTCAAGCAAAAATCCCATTGAAACAAGAGTAGTTTTTCTTGTCAATGTTTTCAAGAGTCTGGACTCTATATAAATCCAATGTGTTTTTTTTTCCAGTGCTGATATTATACCATTAAGTCATTGAAATTATCACTCAATAGTAATAAAATATCAGTATAATTGATTATGACTGTTGTTAATTAAGAGTTCATATGGAACACTGCTATTTTAGTAGCTTCTTCTAAGTGTATAATAGAAATACATATATTCTTAAGATGTTATGAACATGTGTGTCTTATCAAAGGATATTAAAGTCCGAAGGTTTATACGATATTTTTCCAAAGCAATGCAGTATACTCCGCCTGCAAAAAACCGTTGCATCTCAATACTAGCGTGCGTGCATAATATAGCCACGGCATCAAAAAAGTTGCATGCTGCGATGCATTATCAAAAGCCTACAGAACGCACGCTGCGGTCTCGGTGCACGCGGAGCGACCACCAATCCGTTGCTAAGCGACGCGTAAACAACACAAAACCCACCCTAACCTATACCCAAGACTGTTTGAGCGACAAATTACATCATACGAGCCGTGTTTACGTTTTGCGAATCAGAAACCGGGTAATTTCGTGTTTGTTTCTAAAGTATGGGGCTCCAATTAAACTCGGCTTCGGGCAACTTCCAACTTTGACAGCGTCCGTAATTTCCTCGTGCCGTGATGTGTGTTTAGAGGATTCCGTTGGAAGATTTAAAACGCAAGTGATATGCTTTCGGTTTAATTCGAAGCGCGATGGGTTGCATTTTGTCCTTACTGCTGGGGAAGTCGAAAGAGGAGGAGCAACAACCGGAAGTACCCAAAAAATATTCATGGTAAGACTGAAAATACTTTTGGAAAGAATATATCCCGTGAGAACTATAACTCGAATAATTTTAGATTGATTTAATTGGGTGGATTTGTGTGTTCTATTGTTAATTCAGAATAATGTAGGAGAAACACGGACTTTGGCGTTGGTGCGGTTTAGGTTGAACTAAGCACAGAAAATAATGAAAAACACTGGAATTCTCAGAATTGGACTGCATTTTGCAATTTGGAACTATAGATTCTGGCCCGGTTTAAAAACAACGTATGTGCCATTGGTTTCCCCATGCACATAAGTTTTTTTTTCAGATTAGCCAGAATCTATAGTTCCAAATTGCAAAATGCAGTCCAATTAGTCAAAATCATGGTTTGAGCACCAAGAAATTCCCATTCTCATTTCAACCGAACTATTGTGTTGTTTTTCCTCTTACAGTATAAGGTGTATCCGCTCATTTTTCCAATCAGTGTGATGCATAACATCAAAGGCAACGCAATTTCTTAAAAATTTTCTGTGATTTGTAATATTGTGTGATAATTTATGGCATTTATGGAGGGACTGAAATTAGTTTGTTTTCCTTTGAAAAATTAAAATGGGAGCGAAAATTTTTAAATGACGCAATCAAGGTATATTCAAATATCTTTCTCGATCCACCATTGACTCATTTAAAAAGTTGATTATCTGAATCTATGTAAGTGAAAAACAGTATCGATAGCTAGACTCAGGAGCCACGTATCTCTATTACGGTGTTTAAAAAATTCCAATCCTTTTAAATTTATATGGCGAAAAAACCGGCCGACTTTCTGTTTGAAGTTTCTCCGGAATGTTTTTCAAACAAAGCAAATAATCAAGGGAATTTCAGCGAAATGGCATTGAGTTGTTTTTTTTAAATTAAAAAATGAAGTAAATATGCCGGGGAGTCTGCGATATCGCACACCTAGATTGAGGTTAGCCATCGATACACGTGCACAAGTTCAAAGGAAATGAAATGCACGGGGAATTGAAACGGAATTATCACGTGCAAAATTCACGAACGGATCGGTGCACTTTTCGAACTTTACTTTTCCGGGAGGGTGCCCTTGCACTGAGGAGTAAAGAATCCATAAATATTTGCCAATACTTTATGAAATGAATTTTAACGTGGATGAAAGCGCAGGACAGACAGATAGACGACATTAATTAAAATAATATCGAAAACATGCCGATGGAGACAAGAGCGAGAGCGTCACGGCGGTGGAAAAATATGATACCGCCACCATGGTTTGTCACTCTCACTCTTCCGTTATTGACAGTATTGTCAAATTTGTTTCTATTTTTCATATCACGCGTTATTAAACTTGAAAAGTTTACAACGCCTTTATCAAATAGCATCTCCGTTTCCTCATGAACGCCGCGCAGAACATCGTGCATGAAATCATGACCAAACAGCTTGTTTGGTATGGTCATGTTCAACGAATGGTGGATGACAGATTGCTTAAGAAGGTACTAGATTGGGTTCCTCCTGGGAGGAGACGCAGGGGACGTCCAGCAAAATCGTGGATAGGTGGTACTCAAGATGCAATTACAAGATGCCATTTACCAGATGACCTCTGGGTCGATAGACAAGAGTGGCGATTAGGTGTCGCAGAGCGCCCAGGCGCGCCGTAAAAGTGACGTAAATGTAAAACGTATGTATCTCCGTTCCTATAATAAAATACAAGACACAACAGTAATAAAATCAAGGAGTCATGAAATTGATGGCCAAAGTGCGAAACCATGTATCTCTGTTCATGACGGAGTTTACTCGTCAGACTGCATTTTTCCTTTGGAAAACTTGTCATCGAAACCTCTTGAAATCTTCCTCGATAAATCTTCTCTGTTGGCAGAATACTCAAGCTATAAATTTGGCTCGTTTCTCTGCAAAAAAATAAAGTAGGAGCGAATTTTTTGAGAAAACTACCGAAACTTTGAGAAAAATAGTGAATTCTGCTTTAATTGACCCGTTCGAAATCTCGGAGGTCAGAGGAATGCATGTTTGAGAAGATTGCAATTTAAAATTGGACTGTGGTTCTTTCAGAAATTTTCTGGCGATTTGAATGGCAAAATAAGAGAAAAACGACACATACGACCTCAACATATTTTCTCCATTTAATGTCAAATTTTTGCTATTTCAAGCCGTAATGTGCACGAAAACTTTCATTTTCAGTTTTCACTTTCTTTAGATGATATGCGACGATAACTTGTACTTACCTGCTTACAAGTGAAAAAACCCACTCAAATCTCAAAACCAAAGTCATTTCTGGCCTGGAAGAACGAATATTTACCCCATCATTCTTAACAAACTACGCGATGGATTCAAATCGGATCAAATCAAGTTGAGCGAGTGCTATAGCACCTCGGTGCAACAACGTGGAGAAATGGTGCTGGGTTTACACCATTTCGCGGGGAAATCAAAGCCAAGAAGTTCCAAAAATTAAAATTAGAGTCAAAAATAATTTTTTTTAACTTTAATGTACTGGCAACTCTAATAATTTTCACCAATGCTCATTAGAGTTAAAAAAATTTATTTTTGACTCTAATTATACTTTTTGGAGCCTCTTGGATTTAATTTCCCCGCGAAGTGGTGCACTGGAAAAGAAAACACATTGGATCTAGAGTCCAGACTCTTAAAAACATCGATGAGAAAAAGTACTCTTGATTCAATCAGAATCTAGCTTAAATCAGGAACCACGCCTCTTAATTGAAGCGGATTTCGTTTTGATTCAAGCAAAAATCCGATTGAATCAAGAGTATTCTTTCTTGTCAATGTTTTCAAGAGTCTGGACTCTAGGTCCAATGTGTTTTTTTTTCCAGTGTGTAGACCTAGCACCATTTCTCCATCTTGTTACCTACAGTATTCGGGCCATTTCTTAATGTTTTTTCTTTTTTTCTCTCTCTCACTTCGGTGCCTGGGTGTTTTTTGAGAGGAATTTTAAGATGTCCTTGCGCGTGGTTTCATAGTTCTACTGTATATATGTGGTTTCCTACTTTTTCTCACGAGAGTTTGATGACCTATATTTTTCACGCTCTGCTCTCTGCTCTCCCTTAGGACGTCACAGCAGCATCGACTAAAATCGGTGCAAAATTTGGCAACCGGAGTTATTACCTCGAGGCGTGCACGAGTAATGGACAAATGACCTTTCGAAGGGAGAGGACGTATTGTTATATTTGTCTACCGTTTCCTCCGAGTCCTCCACCGCCGCCCCGAACCGCGCTGGTTTTCAAAACGGATTGAATATTATTTTTCCGCACGGCCCCGAGGCTCGGGTCATCTCCTCCTCTCCCGGTTAAAACCACCCATGCGCCCGGGTTTCCAGCCAGAAGTTACGCGCTTTTACGTTTCGGGGGGCCGCGGGGGGATCCGGGAGGATTAAATTAATGCGAGCTCCGTTGATTGCCATCCGAACCTGATGGAGGAGTCATTTCCGATCCCGATCCGTGCCAACTCGGCTGCTCCGACGTTTCTCCTCTAATAAAAACTCGTAACTGCGTCTCGAGATGAGCCCTGTTTTTCGTATAACTCCATCATCTTTGGGGCTCAAGTGGAAATTAAGGTTTGCTATTATGTTGAAAGAGCGACGATTTCCGCCGGGCGCCACCGCGCCGCGGTCCGGTTGATATTAAAACCCGACCGGTCTCTGTTTTCTGCGACGTTGAGACCGTTGCAGAATGAGTCTGCTGCTAAATGTTGCTGCGGCAAAAAGAAATGCTTTTCTTCGAAAAAGGGTCCAAAATTATGATTAGTATTAAAAAAAAAAAAACAAATTAGAGTTTACGCCTAGATTCCCTTCACAGTGGAAGAAAGTCGCTTGGATCTAGAGTCCAGACTCTTAAAAACATTGACAAGAAAAATTGCTCTCGATTCAATCCGATTTTTCCTTGAATCGAAGAGCCGAGCTTCCTTTTGATTCAAGCAAAAAGTCCGATTGAATCAAGGGTATTTTTTCTTGTTAATTATGTTTTGAGAGATATTCATTGAAGAGTCTAGACGCTAAATCCAAGCGACTTTTTTCCAGTGTATATTGAAAGTTGATACGTATAAAAAGTCTATCTTTGATTGGTTTCCGTATTTTAGGAAATCACTGCGTCATAAACCGGGAAAAAGATTGCAATTTCACGAGCTGCAATGATTATAGACTAGAATAGGCCGGGGAATCTAGGGTGCGTCAGTGAACAAACGGAAAGAGAGAAGGGAGGGAGGAGAGAATTTGGGAATGAGTTGATCAAAAATTACGAAAAACGTTCAAATTGCGTATTCTTTGTTTCTGAGTCGTTTCTCATGAGTCGTCTTGCTTTGACTCTCTCTTAGACGGACTCTATTCACGCATAACTTTAAACTCGATTGAAAACCTTTGCATTTCCGTTGATTTTACACAAATTTACCGAAGATTTGGTGATGCAATTGGCATTGCAGCAAAATTGCATACCAGATATTCTGAAGGCTAATCGTGAAGCGCGCTCCGTCGTTTATGATCTAAACGCATGACAAGATTTTTGCGATACAACTATTCGCACTTAGGTGCAATCAAGTTGCATACCCAATATTCTGAAGGCAAATCGTGGCAAGTCGTTCCATCGCTCTACTGACTGAGATCCTCTTACTCTCACTAACCTCTACAATTTTAGCCACACAAGTAATACTAAAACCATGTGGTACAACTATTTATGAGCAGTTTAGTAACAATCGAAACTCTAAAGTCACCGTTTGAAAGAAAATCGCATTCTCTGCTTCATATTTTGGCAATTTGGCCTTTCCAAACTCAATTTTGCCATTGTATGTGACTTATTACCAGTAATTGAAACTTTATTGCCCTGGTAAAAATTGGCAGTAGAATCTGTGTTCCAAAATACCGTGGACCTACGGCCGGCTGTAAGATTTCAAATAGCTTCTATAACCGGCTACACAATTTCTTATAGCCTTTTATAGTCGATGGCGATTAAGCAACTAACAGCCAGGCGATAAAGTGTATTATGATAAACGTCACTAATTACGGATGCTAGGACTTAGTGAGTTTTTGGATCACTGCTCTCTTTTTGGGCCGTAGTATCTTGATTTATTTTGCGAGGAAAGCTCCGTACTTTTGATGGATGCCTGCCATTCCCTATATATTAGAGCGCCTTCAGTTTCGTATGATACTATGCAATACCTCTGGTGTGAAATAGTTGCTTCAAGCGCCGTGGCACGCTGCGGTGTGGCAGCCAGCGCGAAACGCGGATTGGCGCCTACAAACCTAACAGGGATACTTCACGCTTTGCGCAATGCGTGAAGTATCCATGTTAGGTTTGTAGGCGCCAGTGCGTCGCCGCTCCGCTTTGTGTTAGGCTGTGGAGTCAGCGTTATTCAACTCATGATTTTGAAATGTTTGCACATCCTGTATGGATTATTCTCGTTTTAATTGATGAAAAAAAAAAAATATGTATTAAAGGAAAATATAACGTTTGTTTTGTAAATATTAATGTGGTTCTGTATCAAACTTAATGATTTCCAAAGCACACGAATTTCTACACAATTTCTTATAGCCTTTTATAATCGATGGCGAAGAAGCAACAGCCAGGCGATAAAGTGTAAAGCCCGGCGATAGGAACTATAGCCCGGCTGCATAATTTTTTATCGCTTCGTATAGCCCGGCCGTGTGATTTTCTCCGCATTCTACAGCCAGCTATATGATTTTCTGTAGCCTTCTTTAGCCGGCTATAAGAATTCCTATGGTATTTTGAAACGCAGCTTTTATCGCCAATTTTTACCAGGGTGCGTCTCTCTCACTGACGCGTACTATGATCGCTTTTATACTGGCCAGATGCTCTTGTAAGTCGTGTGTTTTCAATATGTACATGAGTGCATCACGAGTATTTCAATGATACAAAACGTGCATATCGCACTTTTCTTTTGTTTGCCAGGGATCTTCGAAAGGAAAAAAACGTCAACGATTTTAAATTTGAAAATCTAGATAATGCCGAGCTATTCAAAGGTCCGGGGTCCATCAATGGAGAGCAATTCATCATTAGGAACTGCAGCAATAGTAAAATATTCTTACTGGACTACACAAATATGCTGACTGTCGACGATTCTTCCAACTGCCTTCTTATTTTGGGCCCCGTCAAAAGCAGGTAATCCCGACTTCTTCCTTTATCTCTGACCATGCAAGTGACCATCAATATGTGCATCAAAAACGCGCTCTTGAGTCGAACCTCTTTGGTTTAATTTAAAATATATCGATGGTGAAACAACAAGACTACGAATCTCGTTTGCAGTGCTCAAAAATCTCCACAATCACTCTATTCTCTTGTCGGAGATCAAAGCAATATCATTTCTTGAGGTTTTCACAGAATTTTCTTCGCCTTGGGAATAAAAATCGCCGAAGATTTCAAGCATTGACGTTGAGTAGATAGGTATTCCCAAATAAAAATTTAACAGGAATCCTGCAACGTCGCAAACCGAGATACGTGCAGAGGTGGATCCAGCAATATGGCAACACCGGGTTTCCTCCTTTTAAACCTATGTTAAATAATCGATTCTTGTCGGAGCACCTGGCCCCTCCAAGAATCGATACATTTCCATAGGTTTAAATGGGGGGGAAAATGTTGCCAAGTTGCTGGATCCGCCAATGGATACGTGGTCTGGTAGTTTTACCGTTGATATACCATTGAGGAAAAGGACACTCAAACAAATAACTTACGCACACGTACTTGAATCCGTATCTTGAAAATCTCCATATTTAGTTTGGATTCACGACTTCTTTACCTATGATTGCATTTTCTTACTTGCTCATGAGTTAGTGTTCTCGGTACTAGATAGCCTGACAAACTGGGCCAATGCCTTTGTCGTTCATAGAAGAAGAAGAAGAAGAAGGACACTCGATTTCTCGCTTTGAATATGATGTCATTTTTAGAAATCAATTTCATTAGTACATCCAACGAATTATTGTAAGACAAAAAGGGAAAAAAACAGACAAGAACCTGAAGAAAGAAGAAATAACGAGTATCAAAACAGCTGAAGACAGGAAAGACGTATTCGGGCCTCTTTTTTAACTTTCCTCCCGAATCTGAGCAACACCTCATTGACAGCATTAAGCAGGGCATTGAGAGCTCATGCTTCGCGTCATCACGCCTTCAATTTTTCAGATGCAGCACGGACGTCCATCAAGTACGAATAGTTGTATCCCTGCGCCGCCGTCGTTAACGCTCATCTTTTTCCTCACTTTATTTCCATATTGTGTTTGTTGCGTTTGTCTTATTCGTAATGGTGCCTCAAACTAGTAGCATAGAGTGTTGTAGAGAGTTGTGTAGCAATAGAGCAACGAGCATTGCGAGTTCACGACCCACACCATCTCGTGAGTGTAGAGATTTAGAAATTAGGTATGAAACCAGTTTTCTTTTTTTCACGATACTTTCTTTCGTTTAGAATGAGTTTTTACATATTTTTGATTATTTTTCAGCGTATTTTTCAGAAATTGTTCAAACTGCACATGCGTTGTTGCCTGCGGTCAATTCAGGATGCGAGATTGTAAGAAAATGAACATCTTTCTACACTCGGCTACGACTCCCACGATTGAATCCTCAACAGATATTGAATTCGCTTGTCATCAACTAAATTACAATGGATTGAAAGGTAAGTAGATGTGGCTGTCCACAATGGGGCCAGAGGTGGATCCAGCAATTTGGCAACACCGGATTCCCTCCATTCAAACCTATGTGAAATAGTCGATTTTTGTTGGAGAACCTGACCTCTATGAGAATCGATACATTTCCGTAGGTTTAGATGGAGGAAAACGATGTAGCTAATTTGCTGGATCCGCCAATAAATGGGACCTTAGCGCCGAAAAAACCGACAGCCTAAACACGCAATTCAGAGAAAAAGCATATTCAAGTTTTAATTGGTCGTGTTCAAGGTTCAAAGTTCTTTAGATGAATCGCAAATTTACGCCTGAAATTATGGTAAAAAAATAAAAAGAGTCACACGTAGCAAATGTTCAGTGCTAGACACTGATTTCATTGAAAAATCATAAACTGAATTATTCTATTTTCCTCAACGAGAGCGTTTCTCTTAAAAATTTTCCTCCGCATGCTAAGGCCTCTTTTTTCTTAGACAATTATCAATCTCTACTCCGTAATATCAATTTAAAATTCCAATGATTACAAAAAACAAAATTGACAAAATTTCAATGGTAATTTTGATTACTTATACTCGTTTAATTCGACATCACAAACAAGTGCTTCACTTACTCCCTCAATTTTAAGGAGGTTTTTTATTAGTACTTCACACAGTTATTCCTATTGAAAATTTTACACAGGAGCACCAATTTACTGCTCAACGTTAGATTTGAATCATCTGGTAGATCAACTGCTAGATTCCCAGTGGATTGATTTCTTATCAGTTAAATTGAATTCATCATTTCATGCTATATTATTTTTATCTTTCAGAACAATTTAAACTAGTAAATTTGAATATATTCACAAACTGCTGGTACTCAGTTCATGATTTTACTCCTGGTGAGGGTAGTTGGGGTTTGCTGCCACCTTTTTGTACTCTTGAATCACTAGTTAGTCTTATAAACACATCGTGCAATTTAAGGAGGTGAGTATTTCCTACGTGCATAATTGTATATCATTAGAGCAAATAAATAGATCCAAAATACTGTTGTAGCCGAAGACCTTGGCACTCCTTCACATAATTCATTATCTTTATGTGATGATTACGGACGCCACTCAAAAATGCAATTGAGCATTGAAAAAACTCCAAAATCTGTTTCGTTACTTCATACCACAGACAAACGCACGATTTTTGCAAATTTAACCTTTTTTTAATTTATAATTTCAACGCTCATTCGTCAGTCTTCATACCGTCCATGACAAATTTAAGCTAATTACATGCATAATTGATGATGAATAACTTGGTATTTTCTTCTATACGATATTTATACATTTATTTATACATTAAGACTAATAGACTCCTGAATAAGCAACACATTGGTGCTGCAATAGCAACATTCTAATGTCATTGTCCTATAATCATTTTTATAGTGAACTGGTTATTTCTCATAACGATAATTTAGAATTGATGTCAAACAATATCAAATCAATGTCTACTTGATATTTTCAATATAAACTATCGTAGTCGCATATATGCCAGGTTTGTAAGAAGTATTCCTTTTTGATATTTTACCCGAGGCATGTGTATTAAATGTGACTTAATATCTCTCACAAAAATTACCTATTAAACGCAAAAACCTAATATAAACTCCTCCTTTGCTTTTTTATTCTGCTCATAGAAACTTGGAGAACGTATGTTTGGATTTGAGCAAAAGCCAAAGTCTAGTGCCTCAGACCATCGGAGCGATCATCGAAAAACCCACTTACGAGTCTTGTCTTGTTCTGTTTATCCTTGATTCTAAGACTCTGAAAGTCCAGGATGATGAAGTCCTCTCATTTATAAAAAAATTAACTTTTGAATCGGTGAGTGTCCCCATTTTTTACTATTTTATTTCAAATCCGATGCACACACAGTGAGACGCCATTGTAACTTCATTAGAATGTAGCTATAAACTGCGGGCCAGCTTAGGGAGACCCTCCTTACTTAATACGGTAAAGTTGAAAGCAATGATTGTCTTGAAGTTAAAATAATAAGATTAGCTGAGAAAATTGGTGGGAGGCGGCAGCCGATCAAAGACGACACCTTTCTCTTCGCAAAAAGTAGGCTTGCTAATCCAATGAGGTGCGTTGTTCAAAGGCCAGAGATTCAAACTTTAGCGCTTTTGTATTCCTTTCGATCAAAACTTTTATACCGGCAAAATGTGATGACCTCCATCCAAATGTCTCGTTTTGACACCCATTATGAACACAGATTTTTTTTTTTTTTTATATTTTTTTTTACACAAAATATGGTATTTACATCGCACGTTGTGTGGTTATACCGTGGTTAACTTCATTGCACATACTACTTGTGTCCAGGCGAGGTAACGAGTGAGTATTGAGTCCTGAGTGTTGAAAACCATTACGATGTTTACAACAATCATCTTAATTTTCAAGGGTTGTATTTTTATAAATGTTGCACGTAGGACTTGGTGTTCCCGAAAAATCGTACAAACTTTCGCTAATCTTCAAAACCTAACCCTCAGAAAATTATATCAGAACTAGCGTCATTATCTCCTACCGTTAGACGTACATCAAAAAGTCATAAACGTAAAATATATCCATCGAGACTTTATGTATTTCCTGGAGTTGAGTCAGAAGTATTTTCAATTGGCTCCGCGAAGTATGGCATGTTGCCTCACAGATATTTGCAGGCGTTTTGGCAGTGCTCAACATCTCAAAACGGGCATTTGTTTATCCACATATCGTAAATAATAATCCAAAGTTCATGCATACATGAATGGCTTTGACCGAACTGAACCTTGTTACGTTCCACAATGCCTGACTTCCGCTCATATATGTTACTTTTGAACCAAAACCAAACAACATTTTGTTACTGTTTCACAATTTTGTTGCTATATTTTTATCCAAACTATAGAAATATTCAGAAAATTGAAGTCTCTACTTATTCTGTTTTTCCTTCTTTTTAAAAAAATAAAACAAGCCAAAAAAGTGAAATAACGTCACACATGGTTTGGTTGATTCTAATTGAAGACAATCGCTTATTTTACTAACTTGAATATATTATTTTTTTCCAATTTATGTTATCAAGAAAGACGTATCACTTATTAACAGCCGGAGTGTTGTGGTGACCTTGCGACAAATACTGGACATTTTTGAGGGTAAGACGCTGAAAACTGACGCCGAAAGCATCACTGTTATCGGACTTCATTTCCACGGATTAGAGTGTCTTCAATATTGTAACAAGGTATCGTCCTCACCTATTATTCTATTACAACCTTTTATGTCTTTATTTATAACAAATTAGTAGGTTTTAAAAAAAACACGTGCGCGTTAAAAATTGAGATTTCCCTCTTTTTAATTACTTGATATTTATACTACCTTGAACAAAAAAGAACCAACCTATTTTTAAAAAAATATTTTGTTACGAATGATTTTAAGGGAAAATCATTATGAACAAGAGATTTATCGTGTCACGGACATGGAATTTCAGTTCATTTTTTCGATTAGTCTCGTGAAACAAGAACGCTACCAAGTCTCATTTTTCCTGTTCCATCTTTATGCGGCTTTCTTTCTTTTTGCTAGACAGAGACTAATATTACCTTCCTTTCCATCGTCCAAACATATTTTCAAATCACTTGTTTGTAAATCATATATGAAAATTTGCCAACATTACGGAGAATAACGGATCTATCTGAAAAAGGAGTTCTAAAGAAAAATTAAAAAAATAAAATTAAGAATAAAAGAGGTTTTGTGCAGAAACATTCTGTCAGACTATCCATTTAGGTTTAAAACTCTGTTTAAAGATGGATCCATTTGGCACTACAACGTTCAACTGATGTTGTCTATTGAAGCAGGGTCTGCAAATACTGTTTTCTTTTCTAATAATTTTATCTGACATTTTTTTTTCATCTGCAAGTGAAATTGATATTCCTTTGAATGACATTACACTCACTCCTACAGGCCGGGTTGATACCACAGCTCTAATTCCCAAGTACCCATTTTGCCTAACGCGTCAAATGAAGGCTAATCTAAGCTCATTCGCCTAACTTAACCATAGAAACTGCTCGTGTGACGAAATAAGATATCTTAAATACATGGTCTTTTTACCACGCTCCAGACTTAGTTCTATTTGTTACAGGTGGCGTTTGAACTTTCGATCTCACCTCAAACTGTTCTAATCAGTGCCTCAAAGACAGAAGCCAGTCGTCAAGTGGAACAATTTTTCTCTCTGTCAGACATGTTGGTGTTCTAAATGTTCGACTATACATATCCAAAAGTCAACGCAAGTTATCTTTTTTTGAAGAATGCGTCAGTGTACCGTTGATATCATGTTCCAGTCTTATGTTGCGAAAGAATTCGAAGGCACGCAATTTTAAATTGAAATGATGCGATGGAATGAGACTGCTAGGATGAAAATAACCTAGGTCAGGTCAATTTTTTAATTGGTATGAAAGTTTCAATATATATTTTTTCTGAGGTAACCAGTAAATAACAGTTTGGGATTACAATACGAAACAAAGGAACACACGTAGAAAACAGGCCTTTCATAAACTAAGCAACACTACAGAAATCACATTTACTTTCACTTGCCAAAGATTTGTGGTTGAACTGAATATCAGTAAGTACTTGTACTTATGCACGCACCAGTGTACGCATTCAGGCATGTCAGTGCATGAAGCCTGAGTTTGATCATTTTTATTTTGAATAGCAGCGCTATGCAGTTGCATCCATTATCATAAGGATTCGATTGTTTTATGTTATAAATAAAGACCAACTGAACGATAGTTTAAGTTCAGCAAGGCGTTGTTCTTTAGAATTGTCACCTGAGAAGGATCATTTTAGGTGGCTATTTTAAGTAAAGTCAAAATTTTCACAATTTTTTACATAAATATCCAAACATATTTATCTCGAAAGATTCATCGTCACGATGATTTCAGCCACATAATACGTATAAAGGTTTTAAAATTCAAAATGAATAACAAGTTATTACTTATCTTTGTATACAAATAGAGCACTTTTATTTAGAAAACGTAACATGTTGACACTTAACTTCAGATATAAAATGAACAAAAACATGTGTAAAATATCTACTGAAAACAAATATTATATAATCAATGAAAAATTTAATTGAGCTCAAAACAAAAGCATTGGATTAAAAATTGGTATGATTTGTACTCACAATAAATATCTTAAAAATAACAGTGAGGTTACTGTCGTGTAAAAAATTGTTTTTTGAGTTTATATTCTTTTACCTTGATTACATGTAAAAAAGAAAAAACATTTAACAATTTGGCGCTCATTACGAGGATTAATGCAAATGAACGCAACCCTTCCAATAGAAATGTGTCGCTCTGATAATACCAAATTATGAAGACAAAATTTCTCATTATAAATGTTTAAGTGTGTCTCGGCCCTCTTTTCCAATTCAAAGTGAAAATGCATTGATTCCATTTTCACTTTCTTCTTTTTATCTCAGGAGCGAGCCTATTTCAATTTTCTTCCATTTTCGTCCGATGTGACAAAATTTGTATAAATTATCGTCACACTTAACAAACGATGCACTTGTAAATTCGAACCGCTTTGATGATATCGTGTTTTTGAGTAGGTAATTCAGAACATGGTTTGTATCATTTGGCACTGATAATATGCCTATTTTCTTTTTTAATGGGAATCTAAAGAAGTCTTGATATAAAAAGAGGACAGAAGTTAACAAAAAATTTCTAAATAAAAATTCTATGATGCAAAGGGCATTCAGGTTCTTTTACAAAAAAGGTTGGCGTAAATAATCGACTATCCGCGATATTATTCGATTTTAAGCCGTAATATTCGTTGCGAACACTTTAATGATCGATATATTTTTCCGGAGATTAAAATGAAAGATCGATCGATTCATTACGAAACAACACGCCTGATGGCGAATATCAAATTTTGAATTTCTACATGTCATTTATGTTCTGATACAATATAATCAAATTGTCTCTGAAATAAAGATAATTCAGAGCATTATTTCATGTGACCTCTGAAAAAGATCCAGAATGCTCAGCAAAGAATGGTTATGATTACTTGTTCAGGCAATGTCTACATTGACTGATGGCCATCAACAATAATGCTCCAAATGCTTTATTGGAAAATTGTGCTAGATCCACAGTAGAAATCGAGCGAAATCATAGAGGCATTTGTGCTGTAGGTGTTTGGTAATCATCGAAAAATCGACGTGCGTGGTGCCTTAAAAAATCAAAAGAATTCAATTCATATAGATATCATGAAAAATCCATTCCTAAAGGAACTGCGTGATTTTGGCTTAAAACGCCTTCACTGTTTCGCGATACTTTACGATTTGCCACACAGTTTAGTTGCCATCCGATCAAAAACCGACCAAGATTTCTGGTTTTAGCACTCGTAAACCCCCAGTGCACCACCTTATTGTTATACATTAAATAAGAAAAAGGGGCTCATTGCGATTCGAGACTAGACAATCAGGAATCCCTTATTTTATCTCAATTCGGAATTTCACTATATTTAAAAGTTCTTTGTTTCTCTGAACTATCAATTTTTTGTCACAGTTCTCGCTACATATCTAGTGCACAGATTAGAAAATTTGTTTTGGCTAGCCGCGAGTGGTGCGACTATCGACTATCTTCATACTTTTAAAATACAACGCATGCTGTTCAATATTACAAGATGACTTTGAATTTTCCAATTTAAACAACATACATATAAATCAGTTTCTGTCTAATTTTGTCGTAAAGATCTCTTGGGATGATTGTTATGATTTGTTTGTGGCTATCAACATGTAATTACCTCCAAACCGTTTTCTTTGAAATTTTTGGAAAATACCCAGTCCTGCCGCGGCCCTTTAAGAGCGCGAAGCGTCTTCAGGGGGCTGGGTCGCTAGGCGGCTAGGAGGTAAGTCCTCTCGTACTCTATGCATCACTAAGTGTTTGCAAAATTTCCGGCGTTCACCAATTCTGCCATGTTCAGGAGTATAACGCCGTAAATCATTCGAGAGTTGCCAAATTTTCTCCAATAAAATGTATATTATTAAGGAGAGTTATGAATAATTTATCCTGAGATTTTCAGATGCTAAGCTTCTAATCGCGAAGTCAATTCTCTGAAAAATTAAACGAAAAACATTCACAAGTTCTTATGACAATTCGTCTATGATCAAAGGAAATAGAGAATTTGCAAGTGTCTGAAATTTTATGAATTTCGTGCTTAAGTGGAAACCATTGAGTCAACTGAACACGAGGATACCCTTGCTTCATGCATTGAACAATTATTGGAGAAGATATGACAAAATGATTTAATCTGCTAAAATACAAGTGTTTAAATGAGAAATACCATCAGATGACGTTACTAGGCGGTGCATTTTCTCACTTTTAAATCTATTCTCATACTATTTCCCATATCAGAGAGAAATTATAAAAAAGACTGTGAAATGGATTGCATTCTGCAAAAAGGAACCACCAGCATTGCAATGTTGCTAAGATTGTGCAACTTCTTTTGTCTTGGAGGAGGAAAAACCCGATTATCCATTAATAGTTTCTATTTTACTCGCTAAAAACTGTAAATTTAAGACAAAAATTACCATCTAAATTTCATAGTTTTTCACGATTTCCGCAATTTTATTGCAAAAGATGAAGTTGCACAATCTTCGCATCATTGCATTGCTGGTGGTTTCTTTTTGAAAAATGCAATCCAAATCATCTCTTTGGGCACTTTCAGACGAAGTAATAAAAAAATTGCATGCAAATTCTCCATTTGGCAACTGACAAAGGTTCATACGGCGTTTTTCCTTATTACCACGGCAAAACCACTTTCGTTCCCTAGATAGGACAACAGCGCGCGGCATGCTTATCCTTCTTGGGGATCTTCTTGACGATGCTGCCCCTGTTGGCGGTGAGGTTGACGTTGGACGTGTTGGTGGTGGCGCAGGCGTTCTCGTAGAAGTCCTGGTCCTTCATCATCGACGAGAAATCCCCAGACGTGGACGAGGACGGCGACCCTGACTTCCTCGACTCGTCACTCTCATCATCGTCGGAGACCAAACAACTCCGACTGGAGACGCTGCGGAGGGTGTCCAGCTCGTAGGGGGAGAGGCACTCCTCGTTGTAGCCGGCGCTGAACTCGGAGAGGGAGGAGCAGGCCGAGTGGCTGACGGCGAGGAGGTTCCCGAGGCAGGAGTCGTCGACGGCCAACTGGATCGAGTCCGGCTGCTCGCTCGCGTCGTCGTCGTTGACGTCGTTCGTGACGTCGTCCTCGACGTGCTCCATGACGAAGATGATCTGCCCGTGCGACTCAACGGTGTGGTTCGAATTTGACGTCGGCTCGACGACGACGCCGCTGCTGGGGCCGTCGCGGACGGGGTCCTCGTCCGGGGTCAGGGGGAGGGGCGCCCCGCGGCCAAATTGAACGAACCATTGGTCTGAGACCTCGTTTTCTCATTTCTTCTCCTTCAGGTCTTTGTTCAGGTAGTGGAGCACGTAGTGGAGCACCAGGTCGTAGCAGTACTTGTATTCAGTCTGAAAGGTAAAAAAATGGATCGGTTATTGGATTGATTCGGCAAAGTGTACATTATATCGTCGTTTCCCTCACGAAAGAACGTAACTGCATTTCAATGTTGCCAAATTTTTCCTCGAAAATTGCATATCGACTAGGAGGATCTTGAGCATTTCTACATTAAAATTTCACTGATTTTTCCTCCGATTTCACGCAAAAATAAGAAAAATTGTCGTTAAACATTTTTCACATTTAACTTAGTAAAATAAATGAATTTTTCGAGTCAAGTTGGCAACCATGGAATGGAGTTACGTTCCTTCGTGCGGTATAAGACGATATGTGACGCGAACTGTGGAAAGGGACCTTATACAGGTAGCAAATAGAGCTCCCGGCGCAGAGGCCGATGCTCTGGCTCCTGAATGCAAGACTTACGGTCTGCTCACCCGTACCGCACGGTAGAGCCATATAGCCCGTAATTACGGCTCCTGGAGCCGGAGGTTTTTTTAGTGTAGGAGCAAATTGTGCAGTGGGCTGATTATTGAAATTGACAGACAAAGCTATAGATAAAGGAGACATAAGGAGTATGGAGCGATCCTGTTGGTTGAAATGGGTGGTTCTTAGACTAAGGGATATATAGTACTAACTATAGGGTCTCTCAACTCTCTCATGGGTTGCCGTTAGTTAGTCTGTTACTTGCATTTTTTGTCCATTGCAACCACCCGCTTCTGCCAATAAGATCCCTCCATGTGCTTTTTGTCTTCTTTGTCTATCGCTTTTTCTACCAATTTCAAAAATCAGCCCGCAGGAGAGCCGAATCCGGGGGAAACTGTCAAAAGTGAGCCCTCCCGTGGAATCCTTTTCTTAGAGTACTGAGTTTTTTTTGTTTTTTTTTTGAAAAATTAAGAAGTACCGTGAATGAGTAGGAAGAGAATCTGAGTGTGGTCAGACTATACCAGACGATAATTATTTTACGGTTTTGAGTAAAGTTGAATTTGATTTTTCCAGGGCAAGAAGTTTGATCTCTGTTTAGACGGTAAAGCATGAACATTCATTTCTCGATCGAATTTCCTGTGGTGCGACTTTAATTCCATTTATTTACTGATTCCAAAAATTACAGATGAGTTTGCTTTACGTCATGTATTAGTTATTCGAGCAACCGGATTTTTTGACAAAAGGCCTCTTCTAGCAGAGATTTCGGAGAAATTTTGAGAATTGAGAAAATCCTCTTTTCATAGAATTAATGGAATTGTTTCACAAATTGAAAAATGCTCATGTACCAACCGGTACATTTTAGACGAAATAACAAGACCAAATTATTTTGGGCTGTTTCTCATGCAGTAGCAGACACTTCTTCCTAGATTTCGTCGTTTTTCCAACTTAAGGGCGTATCTCTATTTTCCCCTCAACCACCGAAAAGCACAGAGTTGCGCGGAGAACAGGGCTTATGCGGAAATCGAGATATGCCCTTACGTCAGAAGAGCGACGATTTGTTCTTCAAGGGGAAAAGGAGAAGCTAGAATGCGCAGATAGGAATCATATGTTACCATATTCTCAATAAGTTGAGGTCGGTGTCTCCTGACAGTTTTGACAGCTTGAAAGACGTCGACTTCTCCATGTTGGATCACTTGCTCGATGCAAGCGTTGGCTGCGCAGTAGACTCCACACCGACTTCTGCCATCCCTACATAAAATAAGTAAACAACAATGGTTTTGAGCTGTTCATGCTTTTGACTATATTATCTGTAAAAAAGAGCGATTGGAAATTAGACGTATTTTAATCAACAGAAACAATGTCAATTGTGACCTGGGCCCTGCCCATAGGAATAAATGCACGACAGGGTCTATGTCATGGTAGAGATAGTTTCTTTTGATTTAAATACGTCTAATAGACGTGACGCTTTTGCCACACATGCAAACTATTCTGAGAGTTCTAGTTAAACTTGAGTAACTGTATGTATGAATGGTATTGGTATATGTAGGTGCTGCTTTTAGATCCGAACTTAATCAGTCCTTAAAAATGTGACTGAAAATAAGAATTTCAGTTCTGATAAAGTAAGCAGTGGCTAACAAATGGCTCTATCGTTTTCGGTGTGAATAGCCTCAATATTTACATACTGCATTAAATGAGTAATAACAATTTATGGTTGTTAATGGGACAAAGATCATAATTATCATCGATAAGTCCCAAAGTTACGCAAGGTGACCTTTGTTATAAGCAATGGCTATTTTCCATAGTTTTTGCCGACACTGTTTTGTGTCCATTCAAATCGAATATGAATAATCGATTCCTGATTAGGCAACCTGCCTCGATTATTATATCGATCGTTTTATAAATTCAGTACTGCCAACTTTTAAGAATTGCAAATGGATGAAGGACTAATAGAAAAAGGGAGAAATGGTGTCTTACTGAGATACGACTACAACGGGGCCATAGTCCTCCCTTTGCCGGTATCTTTCAACCATGTTCATTAGCTCGACCAAAGAATTGGTTGATGTTGGCACTCTATGACCCATCGGCCAGCAAGTAAGTTGGAACAGCTGGACTCCTCGAACCGGAGCTTTAACGCCTGCCATAAGTTCAGTCAAAGACACGATCTAGAAAAAATAACGCATTATTAGTCAGTTAGTTAATTATAGTTAGTTATTATTGTCGTCTTTAATAGTTACTGAAAGATATGTACATCTCGATTTGCATACTTTTTCATTTAAATGCAAAACAGATTAGACGATTTTTTAACCAATTTTATGACTTTTATTGAACGTGAGCCGAGTAAACATTGAGTAGCTCAACACTCATCCCTTCCGTATTGTACTCATACTAATTAAACGTCATTATTTTATGACTCTAATGGTAATTATTGGATTTTTTGCTTTTAATTCCCTGCAGAATATTGCGAACCCAATTTTATATTATCATACAATCACTTTCAAAGTTTAGGCCACATTTCCAGTTTTTTCCTTTTTTCCTTCTTGTTTAAACTTTAAATATTTTACTGCATCAATTGTCACGTGAACATAAGAGACATTAAAATTGTAACTGTTAAATTGCATTTTGCATATGTTTACAACTAGCTTGCAAGGTATCAGGCACAATATACCGCACAACATCTTCAGACGAAAATGTTTCATTTTTTTGGATGCATTTCAGACATCACCAGTCCATCACCAATGGAGCTAAATAATTGAAATAATACAAACCAAAAAATCGCATTTTTCTTCTTTTTAATCTTTTTTTTCTTTTTTTTTACAAAAATATTAAACTTAATTACCAAAATAATACAATTATTCCATTTCGTAGGTATGTACAAAATATAAAAAAAAATATGGAAAAAATTAAATTTACGAGAAGTCATTTTTTAAGGCATATTATTCATTATATGTATGAATCACTGAAAAAGCAGTACGCTCCACTAGTAAATCTTCCTCCATCACTCCCTATGAAATCCAAAAGGCTTGTTTCATGATTTGCTTAAGTAGAGAATTTAATTGACGGCAGCTAATGCCTGACTGTTTGCTGCAAAAATACTTTAAGCCTCAAAAGCGCAAGAATGTGAGGGCTTTAGCAGGAACGAATTCATTGATGCAACTATTCACACTCAATGGCTGCGCATGTTGTGTGACAAAAAAAAAATTAAGGCGCAAGGTGCTTGAACATGAAGCAATACACACATCAATTCAAACCAGTGTTCACACACGCTTCAAGATTTGAAAATTATATTTTCTTTTTTTCAGTAGGTATTTCTCCTTTTACAATTTTTATACGTTACATTTTGTATTTTCCTTACTTCTATATTAGGTAAATTTTAAAATAAAATTAATGAACACATAGTTACCCGTCTATTTTCGAGTCCTGGTACCACAATGTTTGGTTTATTACATAAAACATCGTCCTGTAAAACTCACAAAACAATCGTGCAGGTTACAGAACACCAAAAGCATGCAGAGCAGCGGCAATTAATGAAAATCAAAAAAGGAAATCAACATTGTTGGGTACAAGTGAGTGCAGATTAGTGTTGAGCAAAAACAAAATGAGCAGAGCAAAACTGTAACTGATGGGAGATAAATTAATCGACTTTGCTTTTCTCTCCTTCCTCTAACTCTTTGCATACCAGCAATGAATTCTGTTCATCAACAGGGTGCATGATTTTTTACAAGAGCGGTTGTTGGGCGCGCACATACATATACAAACATACAAAAATGCGTTCATTTGATTAAAGTCCGCACGTTTTGAGCAAGCGAAATAAGCAACAAAATTATTCATTCAAAAGTAACTGAAAACTTTGGCAATAAAAAATGACAGTAAAAATTTGCATCGTCAGAAAAAATTAATCGATGAGTAAAGTTGCATAAAAGCAAATGCAGATTCAGCAAATTGTGACGTATGAATGCGGTGATTTTTCGTCATTTATTTACATAAAAAAGGAAGGTGAATCAAAATTTAATGATTTGATTTTTGTTTTTAATTCTTTACAACATGGGAATATCTCCCTCTTCATTGAAAATGTCCGTCGTTTTGGGACTAAATGACTCAACTTCGTCTTATTTCGTAAGCAATGCTCATATGTACAAGGTACTGTGTCAGAATTACTTTCCTCTAATTTCGCAAGTTGTCTGTTAATACTTTCTGGGAAGAAAATATATACTCGATATGATGTAGGTGCGTAGCCACCATTATGAGTGGGTTTGTGCTCTCGTGCTGTGAAAGTGGAGTGCAAAATTGATTTGGATATGAATTTGTGATTGCATAGTTTGTCGCATGCGTTTCTTTATGAACGAGTGGATGAGCTGCATTCAGGAAACAGTGACCAAATTATTTGAAGAAATAAGGTAATTTTATATTGGTTCATTCGTTTTTACAAACTTTGTGAAGTGAATGGAACCGTTTAATAACTTATCACTTTTATTCTCTCTTGAATTGATTATACAAAAATTGGGGATAGTAATAACATTATGGATTGGTGCGAAAGTCTGCCAATAGCCTTGGATTAGCAGAGTTTTTCCCTCCGAGAAAATTTGGTTCCTTTTTGTCATGCACGGCTCAATCCAAAAGTGGGAGTTATATATTCAGAGATGGGAATCGGTTGTTGTGCTGAGGTCAAATGTACTTTGGAACTTGATGAAAGTCGGATATTTAACCGGCATTTTGATTTCAATAACGTGGCCAAAAGCTGAATGGTCCTTGATAAAACCATCAAAATCCCGTTTCAGTTTTTACTTATTCCCAGCATTTGATGCAAAATTTTCTTAATTTTAGTTCCCAAAAATGCATGTCATTTCGGGAATTAGGACGATTTTAAAAAAGTTTTATAATTGAATATAATTTGATAAAATTCCACACCGTTTTCGACGTTGATTTCACAAACTGAAGTATGACAGTTGGGATTCGATCGGTTAGAGTTAGGTCTGGGTAAATGTGTATGGTGTATTTTCACAGTGCAAAGGAATTGCATGTTAGTAAGTTGCAAAAGCAAATCGAAGAGCTGCGCATTTTTCTCAAATGGCATGATGGACCGAAAATCATATCAGGCAAATTATTGAACACAATGATGCCACGCAAAATTGGAAAAAAATTGAACACTTTTTACCTTCTTATTTATTTTTAGGACCCACGTTTTGATATTGGTGTAGTGATTATGAGACTTGTGATCAATTGTGAACACAGGACCATATTTCTTAGAATGTCTGCTTTCAGGCCAAAACGATGGATAAACTTGCTGCAAAGGTAAGAGAAATAATATTTTAGAAATATTGTCAAAATGTGCCTGTACTTTATGGTCGTTTTGGAGAGCTTAAAGCCCCATTAACATCCACCGAGATCAATCAATTTTAATTAAATTGTATTTGATTTAAAAAAAGCTGGATGAAGAAGGGTTTGAATTTTCTTGCGTTATCTTATGAATTGATTTTTTTTTCAACATATGCTCGTATTTTCATTACTTTGCCATATTTTTGGACATAGTGTGCACTTGAAATTTTTCTCATCAGTTAAAATATAGCCGATAAGTGGTCATGCTGTATATTAAAATACACGAAAGTCTCTATGAACTAGGCCGATCTAACTCGAGAGCTCAGTGGAACTGTTGAACTCCGATTTTTCGACCGAGCGTGACTTATCAACAGCTCTACTGAAAATTTTTTCTGTGAGGACCAAGGTACGTTTTCCTGTGGAAGGTCACATTTAAGTTGATTCTTTCAGGTATTTGCCTCAACAGGTTGAAAAAATAGGTATCTGATAATACACTTACAGAGTCTTTGGGTGGAACACATAGGACAACAACAGCCGAACACTCGTAGTCATAAACAAGAGACCAAAACTCGCCCTGCGTGTGCTTCAAAGGCCATTCTGTGACGATGTATTCTCGGGGTTTTGTGTATCCCTGCACAAATAAACAAATATTTTAATCGATGCTACAGTTGGATATTAAAACTGCCGTGCTAAGGAATAGCGCCGTATGAACATTCGAGAGTTGCCAAATTTCCCCGGATAAAATAACCATTATAGAGGTAAGTTATGCATATTTTAACATGAAATTTTCAGATATTTTAGATTAAATTGTGAACATTAGTGTCTAAAAAATCGAAGACAAATATTTACTATTTCCTCAGTAAAGTTGCCACTAATGGAAAGAAATATGGCAATATTTGAAGGCTCATACGGCGGCCTTCCTTAGCAAGGCAGAAAAGAGCAAGGCATTAATAAAGAAAATAGAGATGAGAGAGTTTCAATGATTTCTCCGGAATTTTGAGTCTGAATGAAAGAAAGAATTACTAGTGAGAGGACTTACGGAATAGAGAAGTTTTTGACTCAACGATAGTTTACCTCGCAAGGGAATCGCGATTCCTCGGTTTCAGTATCGCACAGATAAAAATAAAATACCGTAATTTTCTCTTTTTATCCTTATGTTTTAAGTAATTTTTCTGAAAAATAATGCGGATGAGGCCAACCATAAATGCACGAAATAAACGATTCAGTAATCACAAGAGAGGTGTTAGCATCGCCTAGATTTTGCGTAGGTGCCAGCCGTGCCCAGATTAGTATTTAGTCTCGCAGAAGTAGGGCTGGTATTTTCCCAATGTCTGGGTGAAGTCTTTCTAGAACCCAGCCGCTGAGTCGTTTGTTCACACGCATTGAACGAGCGTTATATTCCGTCTATGTCAAATAGATGGGTCCCATTATCTTTCATTATTGATGAATTATACCTGCATGGTTATTTTTAAAGCAATGCCAATTGCGAGAAAATTTATTCTGGGGACAAGAATGTGTTAATCATGTCTAGCGTTTTTCCAATTAAAATTACATTGCTAAATACAATATCTGTAATGTGTATTCTTAATTTTTAAGTGGAAAGTCCTGGGATGTGCAACGTGCGATGCAATGGGTGGACTAACAGCTGCAGCTGTAAACTAGTGTGGATGCCCTCTAATACTATTGCGAACGAAAAGTTCACCTTTTAATACTTACATCTACAAAAACTGCATTTATATAGTCCGTGTAATTATTTCCTTGGAATGACGTTAAGTACGGTCTAAAATTATCCGCTGAAACAAAATCGTCACGGATGGTTAATTTTACACGCAAAAAAAGTCTATATCAGATTGTGACTTTCGAAATTTCAATATTTTAACAAATGAATGTATGCCAAAAAATATGGACAAAAAACAAAAATTATTAATCATATTTAAACCATGATTATATCGCTTGTTCGGCATGGCATCATATTATGACTGCAATCTCTAGTGTGTAAAACCAACACTCAACACAAGCTGTGAGAATAAAACAAATTGATCAGCGAGGATTAAATGAGTTATATTCTCCCGTTCACCTCCATCAGAAATAATACTCGTATGGCTCAATCTAAGGCTTTAGATTGGGTGAAAAATATTGTTTTAAGTCAGTCTTAAGTCATTTGATTTTAGTTTTAGCCACAAAATCATACATATTTAAAACCTCATTGTACTTTATCAGTAATGAATTTAATCCTTGAGCTTTACGTTGTCGTTAATCAATACCATTTGAAAATTGTTTAATAATTATTTCTTTCAACAGGGCTTGGAAAACTGCTTCTTTTCAATATGGTTGAATGGGCTTTTCGAATCAGTTGTGACATGGCATAAGTCGATGATTTATTGAAAGTAGCTCTGAATCTAATAATTTGAAAGGAAAACTCACGTGGAACGATTAAAACATCTCGGTTTTTCTCCCTATTGTCGGCACGATGTCCTCCTGCGCAGTCTCCTATTGTGAACCTCGGAGTCATCTTGCAGATTTGCTGATAAAATAAAAATAAATTGTTAGATGAACACAACAAATATTATTTCTAAAATTAAAGGGAAAAAGTCATTCTTAGCGAATATACACTAATTGAAGATAATACATTGAATAATCAGAACGGAAGTACTGATTCTTTCGCATTTGACTCTTAGGATTCAAGCAAATTGAATCAAAGAGATAAATGCGCCATGTGGCTTAGAAAATAGTATTTTTTCGCCCGTTTAAAACATATTTTACATTAAAACCTTCAGCACTGGATAAATATTAAATAAAAAATTAATAAAACATATTCATAAAACATCCTCGGAAATATATTTACTAAAAATCTCAGATAATAAAATGCATTTCATCAAACTAAATATATTATTTTACGCTATGGGCTAAATTTTCTCAAGCCTAGCTCTTTATCGATCTATTTTCTATCATTATATTTTCTAAGGAAAATTAAACAAGTAAAATTTAAGACATATTGGGGTTGCTAAGTCTCTTTGCCAATCGTTCTACTTGCAAAATGGATGTTGACTGACTGGTGCGGTTACCTGATACTCCCTTTGATAGTCATTCAATTTGGTTAAGGGGTTTTTCATAGATTTTTGTTTCAGACGTTGAGATAGCTCCTTTACTGGAAACCACGAAACGCCGCAAACTACGTATTCTTCTAAGGTATCATATACAAATTTATATTGGTCCTACAAAAGCAAAAACACAAATAAGGGGATTAAAATCTTAGACACAAAATCTTAGCCCAAGAAATCCTTTTGAGAGGCGTTTAGCAAAATGGAACCAATTGATTGTGGGACGAAGGGATGAATTACAATTTTTGCATTCCTTAATTTGCATGTTCCTTAATTTGCTTTAAGGAACTACTATCTATGGATCATAGCTTATTTTATAAAAAAATTATAAGTGCCATTAGTTCTCCATTAGTTCAAAGATGGGTATACTTTCATGGATAAGCCAGAAATAGTAGTTCCTCGTCGCAAAATATAATTCAGTTCGGCTCGTTTGAGGTGGTCGGCAGAATTTCAATTCATTCTTGTACGAAAAATTTTTAGAGGTTGCATTTTACTTCTATCCTGATGTGTTATTTTTTCTCAAAAAAATAATTTTTGGCAATAGAAGAGAGTCTGAACTCCTTGGATTACTCTCTCTAAACGCTAGACTCGTGGGTGGTGGAGGGGATGTTTTTCAGAGATACTTTTCAGGGAGAGAAATCATGTTATATTTTACTCGTATTAAAACGTCACGTATCAGAGTTAAATTCTAGTGAAGCTTGGCCAACATTTTACTCTGATCACGGTAGAGATGACGATTATTTTTAGAATTTGATCATCCACAGAAATTTATTCTTTTTTAGCTTCACTAACTCTAAAACAAAAGTATCACTCTTAAGTCGACAGTAAATTCTTACCAAAGTTTCAATCATTCCTTTTCGAGATTGTCTGAGCATTTTCAAGTATCCATAAATATTGAAAGAGTCTTCCTCCTCCATTAATTCTATATTTGCATCTATGGATAAATAAACGCCTGATCGTCCTCCGCCATCACTAAAATTCAGAAACATATGTATGAATAGTTTGGAATCTTTCACATCCGAAAAATGATTTAAGGCCGATGTGTGCTTATTGTTAATCACTATTTATAAGCCTCTTTGATCCACTAATTACGTATACCAGTCAAGTGAGTCAATGGAACACACAAGTTACAGATTGAATTCAACGCTCTAAGAGACTTATTCCTCCTTGCAAAGCAAATTTGGATTCAATTTACAGTGTAGGCCACACAAGCTCTATTGGGTCGTGGTGGCATCATTCTGTCCCTTAATTTTTTGGTCTGTTATACGTGAGAGATGCAGCCAAGTGGATTATCTGAGCAGTAAATGTAAATTACCACAAAAATCACGTTGGACACATAAAAAAGTCTCAAATCCACTCATGAGCGCGCAATCTGCGTAGTTAGTAATATACTTGTTCAATTTAACACATGTGCAATTTTTTTTTTTTTTTTTTTTTTTTTTTTTTTTTTTTTTTTTTTTTGCATTTTGTGCCAAAAAAGAGACTTCAGAAACTTAACCTAAGTATGCAAACAATCCTCTGGACCGTTGAAAAAAAATAATGACTCCAAGAATTTCGCGTTGGCCGATGTGCCTACTTCCCTACGCTGCGTTAAAGTCTCTAAAGTGACTCCTGCATTTCACGTTTTGACGATGGGTGGTTTAGCATCATCAAATTTTTGAAGTACGGATCTCATCACATGGAAACACGCGATAAGTTGTGTACGTAGATACATTTACGGATCTATAGCGGTGAGCTTACTGCTTACAGGTGCGAATGAGACTTCATTGAGGTAAAAAAAAGAGTATTCGAAAGTTTTTCTCAGGAAAACTGTGCTAGCCATGCTGAAAGTTGTGAATGTAGACAAATTTTCAGACTCTCAGTCTCACGTCAGTGACTTTCAGTCACTTTAGTCAGACTTTCAGTCGACTTACAGTCATACATACCTAACCGGGCCTGCCTAATCGCCCGAAAACATGTTTTCACCTCAAATCGATCATCGGATTTTATAACCTCAGGAAATCAAGATTATTCGTTAGCCTTTTACTATGAAGTACGATGGCGAGTCTGCAATATTGAAAACTGATCCACGTCGTTGCCGAGCCTGAGCTCAGCCGGGCTCTAACTTTAATTTTAACTTTAATTCTTACTTTTCTCTTTAATTCTACCTTTTCTTTGATTCTGACTTAAATTTTACAAATTAATATTATCATATTATTTAACTAAATCTCAAATTTATGAACTTACTAAGATCAATTAATTTTTTTTAACTTCAGGGTTAATGTTTAAAACTGGTATCACTTTTGGAGACATTTTCGAATCCTTCCTGACGCATTTTGACCAGCAGCATGGCTGATAGACATGTAGAATTACCATCCTACCTTATCCAATAGAAGAAATCAAGTTACTCATGTGAATACCTGGCACAACAAAATATGAGCACTTATGAATACGGATAACATACTTGCAATGAACTACTATTGGTCCCTCTTGGTGAGTTTTGTACGATCCGACTACGGCTCGCATTCTCCTACGGAATTCTAAAATTGCATTTGAGAAAGGGCACGTATGACAAGGCCACTCTGTGTAATGGAATTGAAGAAGTTTCCTCTCCTCCTCTTCAGGCTGTGGACAGATAAGACAAATGTGACAGATGGTTACATGAAGTGGTACTTGAAGTATCACTAAAATTGAAGGCGCACCAAGCTGAGGCACACACCTCGTCAAGCGCATTCTCGAATGCATTAGGGATAGCGCTGTATTCACGCTGTGCTGGGTTCGGTTAGGTCACGCAACTAAACTAACTCCGGAGTGGTGCTCGAAGTATCATGAAAATTGAAGGCGCACGTAGCTGAGGAAATAATTACGGTACGATTGTAATTACTAATGATGAGTGTTATTACTTATGATTGTAAATAAATTAAACTGTGTGAATTATATATGCTCAAGATATTAACTGGTACGAAGCACTCTTCGTGTTTTTTTTTTTTTTTTTTTAATTTGAAAGTTTTGTTTCATAAAAATACAATGATTTTTTACAAAATCAGAAGGGTATCTGTTATACAATTAACCCCACTGTATACTACTTATTTAATACTTGTTCCACTTGTATACACTTATTGACGATAATATACGACTTAAAACTTTAGGCTGAGTGTTTGAATGTCCCACTCCCTTGAGTTCATTCAAGATATGCGTCGTTTTAAAATAAAAAAATCTAAACCATTTGAATAATTTAGAATGACACGAGAATTGGATGGATTTGGCGTGAATCCACTTAATTTCATTTCAAGTTGCCTAAGTTCCTCACTTGTTTAATTATTTTTTATCGTGAATAATAATAATAATTTTCGTGTATTACGGTATAAATCGTGGCATAATAATAGGCTGAATGGAATCTTCAAACTTTACTTTTATATTAATGAAAGTCTCAAGTAGTTTTTTGGTAATAAATTGGGCAGCTTGAAATATATGCAGTTAAGATACTTCTGGTTAAAACCGCCTTATTGACATTACATTGGATTCAAAGTGTTTTATTTTCCTTTTGAAATACATTCTCGTGATAGTACGGAACAGACGGAACACCTGGGACTTATAAAGCGCCTTCAAAACAGGACGATGCATCTTCGCATACCACTCTCAGTCAAAACGGTTTGAAGACAGTTTGTCAACGATTTTTTGTTCGCGCACCTTTTTTGTCCAGTAGTTTACGTCCACACGTAAAATAAGCAACGGTGACTTGATTCAAGCGTTATATTTTAGTCGGTATGTAAATTTATATTGACAGTATGGAAATGAGAAATTGAGAGAGGAGGAGGTATTGTTATGGTTGCTCATTTTCTAAATGAAATGTTATTACTTTCTCCTTTTGAATCATCTTCTTAAATTGTCATTGGTGAATATTTGGTTTTATTTCTATCCTTAAAATATTGAATGTACAATATATCTTATATATGTATAGGTACTTTTTTATTATTATTTTTTTATTTTTTCTTTACAAAATGATTACTTCATTTTGAAAACATTTATATTTTTAAAACGTGACAAATATTTGTAAAACCTTTTCTAAGCGACATGAATCTCAATGAGCCGCAGTTGTGCCGACAGAAACTGCAAAAATGAATAAAAGAGGAAAAAAACTAAGAAGCACGCAATCTTTAGTTTTAACCCATTTGTACATCTCTTTTAGAGTCAAATATGTCAAATTTTGAGCGTTTGGTTGCGCGTGCACCTCGCTGTTGCACGATAAAAGCACAAGATGTAAAAGAAAAAATTAAAGTGCTTTGGAAATCATTAAATTTGACACGGAACCACCAATATTTAAAGAACACTCGTTATATTATTATTCTCCTTTGATAAATTGATACATATTTTTTTACCATCAATTTAAATGAGAAGAATCAATGCAGAGTGTGCTAACATTTCAAAATCATGAGTTAAAAAAACGCTAAATATTAAAGCCTAAGAGAGCGGAGCGGCGTGCTGCCAGCGCGAGAGACTCACTGGCGCCGACAAACCTAAGTAGATACTTCACGCATTGCACAATGGCTCACTGGCGCCTACAAACCTAAGTGGATACTTCACGCATTGCACAATGCTTGAAGTATCCACTTAGGTTTATAGGCGCCAATGCACATTTTGCGCTGGCCGCCTTCCCGCCGCCGTGCGGCGGCGCCTGAAACAACTATTTCACAACAGATGTGTTGCACAGTATTATACGAAATTGAACGTATTATGAATGACTGGCATCCTTTAAAAGTACAGATCTTTCCTCGCAACATAAATCAAGATACTTATCGTACACTGGAAAAACCTAAGAACCTTTAGCTGAGGCAAATATAGAGGTTTATCCGGTTGAGGTATAAAAAGGTGGGAAAATCTTGAAAGATAAATAAGTCCTGTTACACCAACGAGGTGCAGAGAGTTTTAGTGAATTTTGTATCATGGAATTGACGCTCCCCCATTTTTACCAAAACTCTCAAGTATATATTATTCTCCATTGGACCAAACAGACAAGACAAAAAAACAAGCAAACCCTCATTCTTCCAAGACATTTTACATTTTCATCGAATAACGTCGAGAGTAATTGTCGTTTGTATTTACATGTGGGCCAATCAACTTTGGGTCTCAACTGGCACGTGTACCAAAACTCCCGCGCCGAAAAAACGCGTGGACGTAAATTACTAGAAAAAACAGGTGCGCGGACAAAAAATCATTGACGAAATGTCCTATAACCGTCAAAACTACATTAAATCCCCAAGCTGAGTCTTGAAAATCATACTAAAAGGCTCCTAAGATTTATAACGAAAAGTACAGGTTATAATTTGTAAAACTCCCACAGTTAGATCAATTATCTCGATCTTTTAAACGCACCAAAACCGGCAATACCGGTATGCATCTACCCTGATTATGATATATGAATAAATTTAAACAACTTTTACTAGTAGAAAATTCAACTGAATTAAAATTCACATGCAGGATATTTAATTAAACAGGTTGAGCTATTTAGCAAATCACAGTTTCTGAAATACGGCCCGTATATTCCTGTTTTTGTAGATAAAATCAACTTCAACTTAGAACCGTCAAAAATGTACGTTCACATACTTTATTTACTCGAAATAGTGAGTAGTATTATTCAGTTTTTTTTATTTCACTTCATTAACTTTGTGCGATACTTAATATTAATATTTTAAATTATTTTCCACCCTTTCCATGTATAAAATCAATCAAAAACAGATAGTGGAAGAACACCGCCAAGCCGCACTAGGAGAAAACCCTGCCGTTCTCGGATGTAGCAGAAACGATCGCACTATCTCTAAAAACTATATTGCAGAAACCGGAACAAACATTCTCCGGATTTGAAACCGTGATCCCAACAATGTATTGGCTTCGGGCCAGAATCTGCTGAGAGCGTTAAGCTCCGCTGCAATAAGTCATGAATTAAACTTGCATGCCCATTTGTATCACTCCATTTTGAAGGCGCTTTTTACGGCCTCTTGTTTTCCGCTGGGATTCAAGAATGACTAATCGACATGTCCGGTCCGAGGATCCCTAGTCATATTTTTGTGGATACTTTCGTGTCCGTGGGTTTAAAATTTCTAACACGAAGATTTAATCTAACTGTAACCTATCTTGCCTTTGGCCGCTTGGTCTATCGATATCTTTCAGTAAACACAAAGTATCATCTAAGACATATTATTATAGAAACTCTCCGCCGTATAACACTAGATTTTTGTCATTCGGTAACTGTTGATAAAATGTTCTTGACAATCTCAGTTACTTGCGACGAGGAATTTGCTCTTGGCTGAGGCGCAAAAACGTTTTAAACCCCTCATTTAGGCGCAGCGTCGCACATGAGTCGATTGATATTTAATTCCTAGTGGCTACAATGTAGGTTAACAAAAATATAAGACCGAGTCCGAATTCTACAGTGGAAAAAAAGTATCTTGGATCATAAATCCAGACTCTTAAGAAATTTGACAAGATAAAAATACTCTTGATTCAATTATATTTTGACTTAAATCAAAAGAAAATCTGCTTGAATCAAGAGGCTTGGCTCTCGATTCAAGCAAAAATCCGATTGAATCAAGAGTATTTTTTCTTGTCAAATTTTTCAAGAGTTTGGACTCTGGATCCAAGAGACTTCGTTTTCAGTGTACGTGTACTATTGGTGTTGTTGGTGATTCTTGTAAAATTGTATAATAGCTTCCGGATTCGAGTCCCGGTAGTGGCTTCAAATTTTCACGGAATTGATGAGTGGATCTGCAGAACCAGATTTTACTCGTCAATCCCTGAAAATTTGAAAAGCCTCCATGGATGTGCCAATTCTTTGATGTCTACGGGCAGTGGAATACCGTCCAGATGGATGTAGATCCTAATGGAATATAAGACAATGAACCTGCAGAAAAAAAAAATTGTATATTTAATAAAACTCGCAAAATGTTTATTTTGTTGAATTTTTCACGCCCATCAATATGACGAAAAAGCTAAGTATTTCACGAGTTTTCAAGTATTTCAGTTTTTAAGTCTTGTTGAGACCATCAACAATTTATAATTGAACGTATGTGCTCAGGGATTGCGTGTTACATAGTTCTTTTTAGCATAAATACGTCCAATTGATATACTGCGAATGTTATAGCAACCAAATCAGTCTATGCTGATACGCACCGTCCCCATTTTCCTAATGACTCGAATAGTCCTAATGTGAAAATTTGCTAACTCTTCTTCATGTTGAACGGATATATTTAGATCGCCGTAGTTCTCGCTTTTCACCTTCGCGGAAGGCCAATACTGCATACACATCACCTGAAAAAATAAGGATCCTCATACAGTAAATGACGAATTAATTCACGATTTGTGGTGGCACTCAGTTTTTACTCCAGAGATAGAGAAAAAAAAACTTTTTCTTTTTGATTGCGTTTTAGCTTGGATTTTATTCTCAACGTACTTTGAATAAAATTAAAGGTCTTGAAAGGCGGATAGGCACTTAGACTGGGTAATTTGTCCATCATTTTTCATTTTGTGCAAATATTCTGATTCAGAACTGATTTGGATTTGTTTCCTTCTCTAATTTGCCTTCCAATTCACCGTTTGTAAAAAAGAGAAAAAAAGAAAAAAACTCAAAGAAACGACGTTCTAAATTACGTCATTGATTTTTTTATTTAGAGCACAGCTACGCTCATAATCCTACTCACAGGATTTGACTAATTCAGTGCCATTGGCGAGGCGTGAATGATTGCGACTATCGAAATATCCCCATTTGAAGCTATGGTAAAGAATCGATTATTAAGGTGTTCCTTGCGAACACCCAATTAATCGATCTTTTTCCATGGATTTAAATGACAGATCAATCGCTACATCGAAAAGCACGCCACACCACTGGTTCTGAGAATACAGACATCTTGGGTGGGTGGGCCTTCGGAACTCTTCTTTTTAACCTAGAAATAGTTTCACATAAACTTTACTTTCGGAACTCTCGCCCATTTTCATGTCTACTTTTATTTTCTTTTTGTATGCTTTCTCTCAACCTTAATTTATTTTGCTCGCAAATCTTAAGAGATGTTGGCTGTTGGCTGCGAGTTTTTATTTTGTTCAAGATTTAAACTTTTTTTATTCGAGTCACTACGTCATTTTGTCTCCAATAATGAAAGGGGGACACAGGAATGAATCGATAAGTAAAAAAATGTAATTACATGAAGTTTTATGAATTGAAATTAATTTTCGAAATCATTTGATAATCTTGATGTCCTTTTTTGCGCATATTATACTCCAAATATAATACATCATGATGAGACGATGAGTACTTGATCGTTAGATTCTTCGAGGAAAGAAAGGACTGGAAAATAAATTAATAAAATAAAACAAAACTTACTTTTATAAAATCAAATGTTTTTGTTAGCATGACGATACAACTAGCTTTCTCCTGCCAAACCATTCGCCAGAAATCGTTGACAGTGGTTTCAGTTGGTCCCTGAGTTACGATGTATGCATTAGGTTTCAGGAGACTCTGAAAAATACCAACGTAAACACATCGTTAGGAGAAAAATCGACTTAAAAGAACTACAAATAGGACAGAATTTGGGGGGGGGGGAAAGGTTTTAATTCACCAGTGCCTCCATTAATCGTAATATTACTTCCACACGACCCTATACTTCTCTGACGACGAGGGATTTAAAAGTAGTTAAAATCATGAAAATGCACCACCTGTATTTTGATGGCTTCTGACATTAAAACAAAATTAAAATAATTTGACGATGCGACATTTTCATAAAGGATGAATGCTCCTTAAAGCAAACCAACAATATCGATGAGATCTATAGTCACCGGAAAATTGCTTTAAAAAGACTACAGCCATTCGAAATGAAAATAATTTGATCTTAATTTAGGGGACAGGAGTTCACATAAAAAAACAGTTGAAAGTAATCGTTAAAAGTAACATAGTGGTACAACTTTAGCGAGCCTGTGTTGAGATCGCACGTATATTTGTAATCAAACATAAACAGAAAACTGCAAGCAAGCTGTGAAATATATGAAACAAAAACTTACATCTACATAGGATGCGTTGATATAATCAGAGTCTGGAATATCATCTATAGTATCTAAAACAACCCTGTTATAATCATCTGAAAAAGAGAGAAAATCAATGAAATTAAAGATGGCCCCTGAATTACGAACACTCTCAAGTGACTGAAGAAAGAGTAAGACTTTAATAGGACCGGATACATGTCTTTGCATTTAGTCAGAGGTTCAAAGACAGTTTCATTATTAAATCAGTCCAATGCCTGAGACGAGACTTCCCTGGAAATCTCCACTTGAGCACAGGATCGGATAACTTTTAATCAGAGGAAACTAAGTAAACAGTATCGATTATTTCCCACGTGAACTGATGGAGGAGGGGGCGGGGTGTCTCCCTACTTTACGCTACACAGACCGACCCCCAGCTAATGCTCCATGAAGTCAGAGTATCACTTTTTGAAAATGGAAAACCATCGCCATTATTGAAAAATTTGAAAGACAAATGCTCGGTAAATGCGTAGATATTACTTGGTTATAAAGTAAAAGGTGAGAAACCAAGTCAACTTCTTCAACGTGTCATCTGACATCTAATTTCTTTACTTATTAAAGAGAAGCATGTTTAGTGTCATAAATTTCATGGGAAATGTTCTTCGAATAACACACAAAATTAACAACAATTTCAAGGGTTTGCAAACGTTAAGTAAGTGAAAAATTTGTGAATCGGACACCGCCTATGAAGGAGTACGTCACCAAAGAGAGAATAGAAAATTCAATTTTCAGTTAATCAAGGCCCCTTTCAATCACCTATTCAAAATGGTAGCTCGACGCTGTTGGTATTTACGAACATTGGCTTTCTGCTATTTCGAGAGAGAAATAGCTGGAATATTGACATTTTCGCGATCGTTTTCCTAATTTTATCCACTTTTCATCTGTTAGCACAAAGAAAATTAATTTTTTTCTCAGGCGGTGCTTAAAAATCTTGACCCTTATTCCTATTTGATAATTTCCTTTAAGACAGAATCATTCCCAAAGTTTTAGAGTTCCACTTGAACAACACCATTTTGTATTGAAGGTGATAAATAGGACCTAGGTGTTGTGGATATAATTCTGTGGGAACTTAAGTGAATTATAGAATTATATCCACAATACCTTGGTTCTATAATCACTTTCAATTCCCAAAGACATGCGTTTCCGTCTTCAGGCGTCCAAAAGTTAAAGGAGGTGGAAGGGCTTAGAAGACACCATGTATACCCACCTTAAGCAATAGAAAATATTTACACTGACAGGCCTCATAATAAGTATACATAATTCAAAAACCTATCCTACTTTGAAGGCAAGTATCACAACAGTGAGGGCGCTCGGTCAGTGAATCGATGGAAAACAAAACCTCGCAAGTACATTATCTGCTGAGCCCTAGATAATACGCATTTTCATAAAGCTCAGGGATTGTCAAAATTGGACTTGTGACGTTTTGGCATCGACCAACTTAGTTTCCAGAGGCGAAATTCGAGGATGTTTAGATGTTTGCTCGCGTTTGATGGGCGAACAAGAGGTAGCTCAGTATAAATATGTGGAGGGATCTCAAGAGCTGGCTGTCGGAGCGGGGAGGGGTGAAGGGGGTGGAATGGGGAGGGGGTTTGAATGGAGGAGGGGGGTAACGACTTATTCATCGGGACGATTGCCATCGTGAAAAACCCATCGGCTTCACTGCCGGTCAATTTACTGGTGCGAAGGGTCGGAGCTAAAGTGGGAGGCACTTACATGGAATGCATTTGGGGTTTTGGTTTTTGGGCGCGTTTGCTGGTTTACAAGCGTGTCTGCAAGAGTGCGTTTCGACCTTCACAGCCGTCTGAAACAGAAGCAAAAGGACATTGGAATCATTCTGAGAGCGTGCATCGATAGAGTCAGCTCCAAATCAGTTTACGCACTTTCAGACAACGGCAGAAGATCCGCCATCTTGCTTCTCACTGGAAAAACAAACACATTGGATCTAGAGTCCAAACTCTTGAAAACATTGACCAAAAAAATACTCTTGATTCAATCGGATTTTTGCTAGAATCAAAACGAAATCCACTTAAATTAAGAGGCTTGCGATTCTTGATTTAAGCTAGATTCTGATTGAATCAAGAGTACTTTTTCTTATCGATGTTTTTAAGAGTCTGGACTCTAGATCCAATGTGTTTTTTTCCAGTGCTTGCATTTACTTTATATAAAGTAAAATGTGGCATTTTGTAAAAGTGACGTCAGACAATCTTTCGTCGTAGTCTAAAAGTCGTAAACTTATTTGGCATGACTTCTAACCCGCTTGGATGGATTAAATTAGAATCTGGAATCAGCCTAGCTAAATTTAACGTTGCCTGATTCCCTCCCTTGTTTTACTTTTCTACAAGGAAAGTGAGTAACATACCTTGGAACTTTTCGTAAATTTTCCATTTACCATGAAGAGCATACTCAAAAAATTTCAAGACAGAATTTTGCCTGATCCTCTTGAAAAGGAAATATGAGCAGAAATCAGGCAACGCCTAATTTGGCTTGGCTGATTTTGTTTAATGTCGTCCAAGTATTTATGGACCGACTATGGGAAGACGGACCTCCGATCACAAAAACTTAAAATTAAATATTGATACCAGCGTATTCAAGAGTGGTTTACGATCGTGTTTGGACAAAATCAGTCGAAAATTCCGAACCGATCCAAGTTACGGTAGTCCAAATTTGTAGTTCGAAAGGTTCACTTTAAAAAAACACTTAAATTTCATATTTTACGTATTCATGGGATGAAATCGCTAGAATGCTATGGAGCTTGTTGCCCTTAATAGGTAAAAATAAAAATTAAATCGTTCGCAATTTATTTTTTAGATTATTCCCTACAGAAGTCTTAAAACTCAATTTTTCAACTCAATTTTTCAACTCGATTTTCTAACTCGATTTTCCAACTCGATTTTTCAACTCGATTTTTGAACACGATTTGATAAATTGCTCCTACATGAATTTTGCTTCCGTAAAATAAGTCCCTTTTCTCCTGCATTTTGAATAAAGAGGGAGATCTAACAGCATACTTTTGATCAAATTAAAGGTTTTACGCACAAAGGAATAGTATCCCGAATGAGAGCTTTCCAGATTGAAAAAGCTTGTTTGAACATGTAGCGAAGACCGAGAAGGTAAGTATAAATGCTGAAAGCTTCTCCTACAACAATAGTTGTTTACGTAAATACCAGAGAAAACCTTCAGCATTATAATTCTGGTTTTTCCTCTTTTTTTCATTTAGTCATACGATTTCTTGTAAGCGCGCGCGGTTTAGCTGAGCAAAGAAAAACGATCATTGGAACCTGATCTAAACTTTGTACTAAACGATTGTACTTTCTTTACAGCATCGAGCTAACCCTTCGCTCAATTTCTTTAAACATCATTTATTTCGATGTTATAAAATAGAATTCTCTCAATTTAAAAATAAAGAAGGAGGAAAATACATCGACAAATTCTAGACAAATCGTCGCTCCTCTGGCGTAAGGGCGTAACTCGAAATCCACGTGAGCCCTGTTTAACATATAAATCCATGCTTTTTGGGGCTCATGCAGAAATCGAGATACGGCCTTACGCCAGGAGAGCGACGAAATATTCGGGAATTAATTTATTGCTTCCCTTATTCTTTTGCCTCGAATAAAAGATCCCACGCATCAGTGAGTTACCTCTATTTTTGCAACGCGTGGAAGTAAATTTATGACGGGATACCGAATAACTGACAGTGTTACGCGCAAAAAAAAAAAAAGCGAGAAATTATTCTGAGCTAAGTTTATTCTTATACTATTATTTTTAAATATAAGAGAAGTATTTGATCAATTCTTTGGGATTCCTTGATTTTATTTTCAAACGGCTCGAATTTCAAATGATCTCCTTTTAAAATTTACTATTCATTTGTATTATTATCCTGCAACTCTCATGACCCATCAGGAACATGACTTCTTCACGCATTATTTTGAATCGATCAGACTAATATGTAATTATTATCCCCCAAAATTACATTTTTTGTGCGTCTAAATGTTGTTCCAAGTATACTAGACAGCAAAATATGTTTCAGGTTATATCATTTTCCTCGTTAAAAAGTGAGAGGGAATCCTTCGCTTTCCTTTTTACGGCGTTCATTTTTGCTCAACCTCTCAAGAAACCTTTCCCATCCTTATTCTCGTCACGTCAGCACAGTAACATCTCTCCATTCATCATATTTTAATTTGATTCCCCTAATGCTGCATCTTCGCATTACCGCTGAGAGTGCTTGGATTGTCAGAGCAACTCCCTTATGTATCGAGAGAAAGATTCAAGATTCGCGAGGGCGTGACGGGTATACGTTGTTCCTTTTTTTAAAAAAAAAAATGCGAAATAATGGAAATTTGCTGCGTTATCTTTTGCATGCAAAGCAGCAGAAAACATATGCAGCGAAAAATGCTGTTACGATATCTCTTCCTTTTTTTATATCAGGCGTTCAGTAAGATTGAGTCAGAGAAAATGGGATTTAAGGTGAAACTTCAAATTTCAGCGCACGGCCGAAAACCTTGATTGAGGTGAGAAACCAATTTTGGAATGAATCGAAGAAAATATTGACATTACAACATTTTCAATTCTCTATAGGAGATATGGAGATATACCTCACAAATAACGTTACAGTTGTTCCGAATTACTCTTTTTCAAAGGAGGCAATATCAAATTTAATTGTGGTTCATTGGCTCCCAACTCTTACAACGCGAAGAGATAAATTATAGAATTTTTCTGTATCACGTGCACCGGACGGTGCAGAATGAACCTTTTTAAGCTGTGACATTTTTTATTTTGTCGTTTCCCAGACCAGAGAGCGTACCTCCATTTCAAGGTTGCATATATTTCTGGAAAATTCAATTTTTTGAAGATTATAGGTAAGCAATCTTTGTCAATACTTCCACTTATATTATTTGTACATGTGATTAGAAGCAAAATTAGTAAAATTTTTGAAGAAGATATTCCTAGCATCTTTTTGATAGAAATAAAATTTGCCACTAGAAATTTGGCAATATTCAAATTTCCATACGTTCCTTCATCTGGGAGCTAAGGGTTTCCCTTTCATCGCAAATCACATTTTGCCTGAATTCATCGCAAAAAAAAAAAAAAAAAAAAAAAAAAAAAAAAAAAAAAACACGGCAGCTCTGATGGGGCAAGTGAAATTTGATAACTTAGACCGGCCTCATTACTACTCAAGTTTCGCATTGTCAGAGCCAGGCAAAAGCAATAAAAGTTCATTAGTTCTCTCTTCAGACAAACTTAGGCTTGGATCTCTTCAGATGCGACATTTTGGGGGAAAACGAACATTTGATTTGTAAAGTTTGGGAAGCCATCGAAGACTAAGTCTACGCTATGACGTACCTGGAATTCAAGTTTGTAGAGAACAGGAAACTTTCGCCTCTGTTCGCAGTGTTTTACCATGTTCCTCTTTTCCACCGGTTTATTCGGCAGCGTTGACATGACTCCATTCTGTTCCCCAGCTGAAAAAAGAACCAAAGTAAGAATTATTTATCGAGCATAACGGATCGTTAAGAATTAACACTCGTGAAGATATGAATACTTTTTTGACGTTGAAAAGTAGAATGAAAATATTAAATTTGCCTTCAAACATGGACGCATGCCTAAAAAATCGAATGTACTAATAACCTCTAATTTTTTTGCTTTCATAGCAACGACCGTTTCAAAAATCTTCCAAAAGATGCGTAGGTACCTTCTAAAGTGAAGTATGTTAAAGATACATACAGTTAAAATGTATGTTTCAAGAAATCCATTTTGCTTATTTTTTCAAGTAAAATTTACGACAGGTAATATTTAAATAAAAAAGGTGTTCAAAATCTTTAAAGATGTGCCGTAGTTTTTGAACGTTAATTTAAACTGTGAAAAAGTATTAATTTCCTCAATAAAAAGTTTGCATAAATTTTACTGGGCGTACATTTTACTTCAAAACATTACCAAAAAGTGATTCCGTATACTTTTGAACATTTTTAAAGAGTGTTTAAAACGTGATTTTAAGAAATCTATTGTTTATAAACCAATTAGTGGTTCATATGGAGCACCACCAATAGTAGTGAAGGCAACATGAAACAATATCACATATCGACGGTGAAACTACCAAACCACGTATCTCGGTTTGCGACGTCGCAGACTTCCTGTCATACTTTATTTTTTACATGAAAAACTACTTAACATCCAGTCTTGAAAATTTCTGTGATTTTTCCTCTTTGTGCGGAGAAAATTCCGTGAAAATTTCAAGGAATGATATTGATTTGGTCTACTTCAAAAAAATAAAATGTGAGCGTAGATTTTTAAACACCGCAAACGAGATACGTGGTTTGGTAGTTTCACCGTCGATATACCTTAGTTATGGCATACATACCATACTATGGTACAAGCTACCACAGTTTGGTTCACAGACCGATAATCATTAGTTCATATACAACTATTAATCGTGTTCCATATGAACCACTAATTGGTTTATAAGCCCAACTTTATCTCAGAGTGCCGCTACGGATTTATAAATTGGGCTGAATGAATTGAGAGTTGTTTAGGTGTGAATATTATATATTTTTATTCATCACAGACTCATTTATTTGTTTTAAAAAAGGGTAGGAATCCAGGTTGAGTTTTATCAAAGGCTGACAATCAAATTAACGGAAACCGAGTGATGCGTTTCCGGAAAAAGTTGAAAAAATAAAAGGAAATACTAGATTCACGCCGGTTGGAAGGGACGCCTCACTGGACAGCTCTCCGCAAAAATGGTCATTTTCGCAAATTGGTCACACAGTTTTCCATCCGCTTAAATGTGTTTCAAACTATTGATGCTAATGAGGTAGCCTCTTTTGATACATATCTTTAGATCACAATGGATTTAAATGAAAGAGAACACTGCCGTGCCGTGCTTAGCAAAAAAGGAAGATCTCAATTAGAGTCCCTGTGCCCTTTTCTCTCAGCATGGTAGAGAAGAGCTGACACCTTACGAGAATCTTTATACCGTCCACTCGGTTTTGCGAGGCAAGTAACTTTAAACATGACTTTACTTGATGGATATCTCTGATTCCTCTAAATTGCATCTCTGGTCCGAGTTATTTCTGCAGATCCATCGGATGAATTTGAATGATGGGTCGAATGATGATCAGTATTATTAATGCCAGGAAACATTCAGTTGGGAGTCGACGGTATACATAGAGACTTAAAGAGACACCTGGGTACATATATCTACATATCGATGACTGTGTCGAGAAAATCTCACCTTCGTCGCAATGTTTGAGAATCTTTGATTATGTTTTCATTTTTTAAAGAAAAACTATATTATGTACATACATTACATACATACTACTACATGCAACCACAACAACTACTACATACTATTTCTAAAAAGCGATCCCCTTGAAATTTTCTACAAAGTTCTGTTAAAAATGATCAGAGATGCGCTCTTTTAGACTTTAGCCATCAATATGCGTGTATGTAACGTATAAGTAAAGGGCCTCTGCTATACATTCTGACATTTTTGCTCCACGCAGTAGGACGATATCTTTGGCATGCAAGTCCTCAACAAGTCGTAAAATATATCCTTTTGGCAGATACGTATTGCATTGGTGTCCCACTGTGCGCCGTTCCACGATTTGTGGAGAGCTGGGATGTGATTCGTGTGGGGATTAGAGAAATGCGACGGTGATGCAAAGCCATATGTTATGCGATGAAAAAAAAAACGGAGGGATGCATGAAGCGATGCGACCAGAGAATTGACTGGACATGACATGGCGCAGGTGTCACATTTCTTTCAGGAATGAACTTTCATTCAATTTTTATTCATTTATTTTATTCCTTTGATGGAGCTTTTGATAACGTTTGTGGCAAATAACGATCAGCTTTAATTCAAACCATACAATTTTTAAAAGAAATTTCAATTCCATAAGTTTCCTCGTAGAATTTCCTTTCAGAGTCATCCCTTCAACTTACAACGTGACGATTTAAAACATGGACATTTTCAATTTTGGTCAAAAGTTTCGTGTCCGACTTTTCTCAATGGCGCGTCTCATTGTGCGCTGGAGAATTTGACTACATTTTGCAATAAGGAGCTACTATTTCTGGCACTATACAAAAGCACCTATTTTCATAGGAAAACGTTGAAACTTATACGTTGTTGTTGAGTTGTGTATAAGTGCACTGGAAAAAAAACTCATTGGATCTAGAGTCCAGACTCTTAAAAACATCGACAAGAAAAATTACTCTTGATTCAATCAGATCTAAGCTTAAATCAAGAACCAAGTCTCTTAATTTGAGCGGATTTTCTTTTGATTTAAGCTTCAATCTGATTGTATCAAGAGTCCTTTTTCTTGTCGATGTTTTCAAGAGTCTGGACTCCAGATCCAATGTGTTTTTCTTTCCAGTGTGAGCTAGAAACTAAAGCTGCCCATTGCAAAAGGCAGTCCTGTTACAAACATCCAAACACTAAGCGGCTGTTACAGCGGACCCAAAGAGTCTTTTATGCGGTCTCATTAAAAGCAGGGAATCTCACTTAAATCCACCCCGAGCCCCGTCGCGCCGTGGCGTGGTGACACACGCAACCCGCCATACTCGCTTTCTGATATCACAGCCATTAACTGTTACACGCAAGCAAAATTGACGATGGGTGAAGCTCTAGAAGTTTTGAACAAGATTCAGGGTACTGATAATATCAAAATTACCGGCCAAGAGTCGGACTATCTCAGAGCGGGTCGATTATTTTATCGTTAACGAATGATCCTGATCGACAAATCCCTACCTTAGCACTTTTTATCATGCTTATTTAATTTACCAGTCCTTCACGCTGTATTTCACACAACGTCAATTTAGAGTCAATTCTGCCAGGAGAAAGATAAACGTTACTATATAATGGTACAGTTAACCATTCTTCTGGCAGAATTGACTTGAAGATTGGTAGAATTTACCATTCCTTCACCTTGTATTCCGCACAAAAAAAGATACGTAGAATTTACCATTCCTTCACGCTGTATTACACAGCTTGAAGGAATGGTAAATTTTACGTATCTTTTTTTTTTTCATTGTGAAAAAGGGAACAAAAAAGGAAGAAGGAACTGAGAAAAGAAGAGGGAAGGACGTCTAGGTTTGGTAATTATTTATACAAAATTGACTCAAACTGCATATTGAATGCTCTGAAATTTTGAAAATGTTTTGGGGAGTGCCGCGCAGAGGCCGAGAGGCCCCTTATGCCCCCCTCCCCCGTTCGAAATGTATGGTTCCGCCTATGAGGAAATAATAGTTTGTGCAAATGAGTCTCGTTAAAATTTTGTTATTCATTGGCTAACTTGATTAACTTGATTGAATTAATTATTGCAAGTCTGCGGTATCATTGAATAAAACCCCTGGGTTTTCATGCTCACTCTCAGTCTTTAATCGCCACTTCCTCTTTTCAAATTGACGGGAGTACCTAAACCCTTATACATTGAAAAAATGTGATAAAAACCAATAGGATACTGTGCAGAGAATGATCATTAGCTCCTGCCATTGAACATTAAAGGTCGCGTGTGATGTTTGAACCCATTTCAGATTTGATTCAATAGAATACATGAATGCGTAAGTTGCATTTTCTCCACGCTACTTTTGCTCCTATTGAAACGCGGACTGGCTGTTGATCGCGGATCACGACTCGAGTCAATTCGAGTTGCGTGAAATCTATGTTTTAATAAATTCAGAAAAAGGGCGAAGGTTTTTGAATGGGAGATAACAAAAACGCCAAGCTGTGCTGAAAAAAAAGTAGGTCAGACGATAAGCTAGGGCCGGGGTTGAAGAAAGGATGTTGGTCCTCCAATCACAACGCTGTTGACAAGTCTGACCTCGAAAGGTCGTGCGACAACCGCGCAATTACAGGGCTCGTTTGACACTCGGCGTAGGCAACTCTGCTGGAGCCCCACCCCCTCGCATTATCCCTTTCAGCCGCATCATCCCATGAAAAATTATTTTGAAACGCCTCCCTCTGAATAATTTTTCTATGCTCTTCCGATCTCTCCTTTCGGTCCCCCATGAGAGAAACGTATTGGAAAACTTTGCCATGGAACCACACAAGAGGAAGTTCGAGGCTAGGCTTTTAAAAAAACTTAATCAGGGCATTTCTAATATACCGAGGAGCTTTCCTTTTCCTTACATGAAGGTTATGCTGAAGTACTTTCAGTAATTTGTTCTTTTTTCCTTTTTATGGCATCGTTGTCCGTTTCCATGACAACAGAGTCTTTAAATAAATTAAGTTCGCCATGTCCATTAGGTTAGGCTGAACTTTTAAGACGCGGCGTACTTGAAACTTCTTGACTTGAAACCTCATTGATAATGTCTTGATCTCACTGATGAATAAGAGAGTTTCTTACCGCCAAAAAGCTATTTTGAAGAGATTGAAGGTCAAGGAAGTTTCAAAGAGCGTATGAAGATTTTGGCCTTTTAAGCCAAACAGTAAATTTGAGAGCCATATCTAAATAATAATAGTTAT